ACAGAGAAACATAACTATGCTAGGACGAATATATGTATATATATGTTTGTAGTGAATGCTTAAACAACAATAAGTTTTTTCTATTTTGATCAAGATACTATCAAAATTCAAACTTATCATTGTGTTTAAGTGTTTATTAAAAACATAGTTATAGTAAATTTCTCCTCTCTACAACTCATAAACTTCTGTTAGATACAGTTAAATACATGATAACTCTGTTACATATTGTGGCTTGTAGTATCCGGTCACTGACTAAATAGAAATGACATATGGGACTCCTGAGCGAATGCCTGAATAATATCAGTAACTGTAGCTTGATAACAACGGCCAGTGGCTGGGGCGTCCTAGATAAAAAAGGCACATCGTGTATACCACCGTTAGTTGCTATTATATCATTATTACTTGTCCCTTCAGTTCCTAGTGGAACATAGGAATTCAGTAACACAACTTCACTCTCTTCTCTCCAGTATTTTCAACCTCGCTCCACAACCGTCAACAACCTTTCATTTACTCCTCACACGACCTCCTCCATGTCACCCTCGCTCACCACGGACGCCCAACTCGTCGTTTCCCCTTCGGATTCCACTCGAGGACGTGGCATGGCACGTGATGTCCCCAATCGGTCTTCTCAGTGCATGCCCAATACAATCCATCTCCACTTTCTTCTGCACATTCGTAGGGTGACGGATGGGTTCTTGTGAATTCCTTGTTCCTTACTCTTATTATTCTGGCAATCTGACCTTCAGTATCGAGTGAGTGTAGGTGGCAGCTGTTGATGACGTATGCCTGCAGTTTGCTGGAAATGCTTTCCGTAACGCGCAAAGTTTCTGAATCATATAGTAGCACTGAATTGACTGATATTAGTGTGGAAAATCCGGATCTTGTTCTTTGTGCTGAGTGTAGTGGAGGAGATCTTCACACTGATTTCAGGTTAACGAAAGCCTGTCTTGCTGTCTTTCCGATCCTGGCTGGCTTTGACATCCTCATCTGTGCCTGTGCCTGTGCCGCTGCCTGTAGTTGGAACGATGCTGCCTTCCTTGCCTAGGTGGATGAAAGAGACTACTTCCTTCAAGTTTCTCCCATGGATAGTGATTGGTGCCTCTTGTTCTTGTTGGTTGGGTATCTTCATCACCTCTGTCTTCTCTACATTCACTTGAAGTCCAGTCTTCCCTCACTGTCTCGCCTCTTCTGTCAACTTGTTGGTTTTCGCCTGTAGATCTTCGAGTTTGTGCCATAAGTCATCAGACATAAATCATCATCGGCTGCGAGATCCAACGTTATGTCCCTCTTCTCGCTCCTCACACTTTGTTGCATAATCCAGTCGATCACAATCAGCAAGATCATGGGTGATAGTAGGCGACAACTTTGTCTTACTCCCTCCTGTCTTCACTTCAAAGGCGTCACTGAGCTTGCCATTGAGAATCACTTGGCGTGTGACATCATATAGCATATAGCTGCTATACTCTGTTCTATGATGATGCGTAGAGTAACGTTGCAATTTGGTCCGCACATGATTTGTACTTCCTTAATCCAGCCAGCCAGCCTGTTCCGGTCGTAATTTTAAATCCAGGGCACTTTCCTTTTAGTCTCTCCAGGATGATGCGGCATAATATTTTGCTTGTTACGGGTGGACAGCAGCATGACTCCGCACCAGTTCCTGTCCTTGCAAAGACTTAGGTCGTCCTTTTTTGAGAGTTTGACAAGGTAGCCCTCCTTCCAGTCGATCGTCAGGTATCTGTCCTTCCTTCCTTCCTTCCAAGTCTTCTGCACTAGTGATATGAGCATGTCTGTTGTTGTATCTGCGTGTGTTTTCAGTGCTTCTGGAGGAATTCCATCTGGTCCTGCTGCTTTCCCGGATTTCGGCAGCTTTACGACATAGCGTTCAGGACTTCACTTCTGCTCTTGTCTGAGAGCTTGTGTTCACTGGTAGTCCTGTGGCTAGGCTGGTGGTGGTATTTGTTGACGAGTTGCAATGGTGGTCGACTCAGGAGTTTTTGAAGTGGTCACACCATCGCTTCCTTCCTTTCTCCTCTTTGGTAACTAGCTTCCCTTCACTATCTCTCATTGGTTTCGTCGGCATCGATCTCTTCCTAGAAAGCATTTCGGTTATTTCATATAGTGTTTTCAGGTTGCTGTCTCTCCCACCTGCAGCCTGTTCTTCTTCAGTTGCAAGTGTGTCGTAGATGTGTCTTTTGTCCTTGCGTGCACTCCTCTTCACTTCTTTGTCCAGTGTAGTGATTTATAGGTTGTGTTCCATTCCTCTTTTCGTTGTTCATCCTAGCACTGTACTGGTTTATCTTCTGCTTCACCATCTTCCTCCTCCGCCTGCTCCATCAGCTTCATTGTTTCCTTCTCCGATTTCGTCCTGATGGCTGAAGTGAAGATATCATTTGTGGTCTCGTCCTTCAGTTCAGTTTCCGTTCTGGGTGTGTTGACTTGAACTGGGGTCTATCACCAACTTCTCAGAAGGCTTACAACTTGATTTTCAAGGTGGGTGGGTTCCTTGCACTAGATGGTGAGTGATCTGAAAATGCATCTGCTCCTCTTCTTGACCTGACCTTGTGTCCAGTAAGCTGCGTCTCCACTTTCTTCACATTGAGATCAGGTCGATCTGATTTTTAGTGTGGTGTGTCCTGGCGTCTGGTGAAATCAAATCCATGTCACTTTGTCAATATCCTTGTGCTTGTACACACCACCTCGCCTCCAACCACCAAATCATTGAATGCGCAGAAATCTGCAAACAGCTCTCCATTCTCATGCATCATGTCACCGAGTGCTTCTCGACCCATCATGAGTTCTCTTCCTGTGTTGTCCACTCCTAGTTTGGCATTCATGTCACCCCAACAGTTAGAATGAATTTTGATGTCACCAACTGGGTTGTGGTCTTGTCCAGTACTGATTCAGTTGTCTGTAGAATTCCTCCTTCTCCTCTTGATACGCATTATTTGTAGGTGCATAGTGCAGCGTAGCATTGTATGATTGTGACTTTCCTTCCTCTTCAGTTGAACCTTGCTGTTATGATTCTGATCGTGGAGGAGGAGATTGGTTCCCACTGCATGAGAGGGCGTTCACTGCTCTTGGAGACAACATGATAGCCACTTCGAAACTCAGTGTGCTCGTGGTTGTCGTCTGAGTGACAATATCGGAGTAGATTATTAACTCTCCAGTTGACAGTTTGGAGAGTCCACTCCCGTTCCATCTACTCTTGCAGATTCCTAGCACATCTGTGCTATACCTTCCCAATTATTTTGCAATCTTGGCAGGCTTGCTGTGTTCAACATGGTGCGGACATTCCATGTCTCCATGCTTACTTTTGCTTTCATCGAGAGAAGAGAAGACACATCGGCCCGGCCAATTGGCTTCCCGAAGACTTTCACCAACTGGCATCACTTTGCCTCGCCGGTTTGAGGGAAGGGTGAGTCTATTTTTTATATTTTCTTTGTGCTCTGAAGTTTGTTTAGTGATTGGATTGGTTTTGCGGGACAGGGTTTCTAGCCCTCTGTCCAACCTTTCCTCTTTATCTGGGTTTATGACCGGCTAGTAATTAGGGCACTAGTTTCCTATGTGAGGTTGCTAGTTGCTATGCGTTATTGTATTCTTATCAAAAGATTTTGTTTGTTTGTCGAAACCACTCGCAGTTTATAGATTCTAAGAGCCTTAGTAGGTGAATACCATGCCTAATTCTTACTCATGGTCATATCTACGCTTATAAATGTAACATTTGCTTTCTGAATGAGTGCAGAATAATAAACAGTTTTGTCCTCGTCTCTAGTGGTTTTTGAGGTATTCTAAAAGTTCTGCGTGAATTTATGTCGAAAAGTGAAAATCTCTTCTTTGAATACATACATAAACGCGTGGATGAACCTAAATCCAAATTTATGAACAAGAAAGTAAACTCTGAAATTCATCAGTATTGACTTTACATTTCCATCATTCGAAATCACACAGGAACGGATCGCTGATTTTAAGGGATAAAACATTTCTTTACGCTTCACTTCTAGTTTCATGAGTGGGTATTTTCGGGTTACCTAATTGTATGATAAGTGAAGCTGAGAAGAAACATGAGCCTTAGCAGCATTTGAACCAGTAGCCTTTAGACTTGATTCAATTCCATCCTGCATCCCAGATTTACATGCTCTCATCAATTTTCCATGTTAGATAAATGAGTTTAACAGCTTATTGATATAGACAACTTGTTGTAAGCAGTGGCGACTTATCTTTAACATAAAGGGATAAGAACTGTTCACTATTAGCTAAAAGCTTTGTTTCTGTTAAAATGGCCAGGACTATACAGGATTATAGTTCCCCTTCTTTTTTCGTGATCGGTCTTTTAACGATTTTGAGCACGGATAAAATCTGTATATTGCTCCCTCTTTACAAACATTTTGATCGCTAGTTTACAGAGAATTGATTACAAACAGGTTTGTACACGAGAAACGTTTGTTTCAGCTTACTATTATTATTAACATTGTTATGAGTATCACAAGTATGTTGGCAAGTGTAAAAATGACATTCTGGCGATAAACAAGTTTTTACATACAAGTACAAGTTAATTCCTAATAGTGAAAGCAAACATCATCAAATACGATATATAGAGTGCAAAAAATGTCATCAGAGAAAATGTTTAAAAGGAATATAGGAGAAAGAAACTGAAATATCTATTACAACAGTTATTTATTTTCATCTTTTAAATATGCGAAAAAGATTCTCAAAATAAAAAGTGTATTATCACAGTGTATTTGAGATGGAATTATCTCGTTTTAACAATAAGTAACGTTAAAAAGGAACACTGCACAGCTACTCTTTGACGCAAAATTATAGATAATCTTCATGTTACAAAAACATAAAAATAGACGAAGATTTTCACCATACACAGAATCATTACTGCTATCCCGTACAGAAGTATGCTTTAAAAATTCTTCGAGATATGTCTGCCTCAGGCATAAATAGTAATCCAATTCAAAAAAAGAGTAAATAACTAGTTTAAGATGAAAGCTTTATTAACGCATTTCAGTTGATTTCATTAGGTTGCTCATTGACTTTTCCAATGACGGTGTAAAGACTGAATCGGAATCTGACAGAATTTGTCGTATAGTTGATACAGCAACTAGGGTAAAAAGAGGTAATAAAAATACTTATTTTCAATAAATTAATGCACGTGTAATTCTTTCATAGGTAAGTAATAAAATACTAGGTGATACGTTGCACAAAATATTCGAATTCATCAAATATGCAAACTGGAGTATAATATCAACACTTTTCAACGGAAAATATATTTCGTGATGTTTATCATTTTTTAAGTATAAGGTAACTTGAATAGTATGCGTCGATCTCCAATTCACCTGATAAAGGAACAAAGCTTAATTCAACTCGATGGGTGACAAGAATTTTATACGCTACGAAAACTGAAGCAAAGTAGTTGAATTCAAGGTGTATTTCTTAAACATGAAGTTGTGAAAAAACCTTATTTGTCAAATAGATTCTTATTACGTATTAAACACTGTTTCTATATTTACTGGAGACTAATGTATCACCGTTCGATACTGTTAACAACTTCATGAGTGAATGAATGAGGAACTTTAAGATTTTGACGATATTAAAGAGCATGAAGTAACCCTTTACAATCGCTTATACATCTTGTCATTTGGCTCTATAATCACATTTATAATGTATTCAGCAAACTTCTTTTACATTGCTCACTCTGATCTTGTAATTTTCATCGGTGACTCGGCTCAAACGGTCTAGTTGCTGAAGAAATCTCACTTCTGATATAGAAGATCCTTTCGGTAACTGCCAGGTTGCGTCATCGGGGGCGCTGGAAAGATATCCGATTAACCATCAAAGGATGAGTTTAATGCGCCGCAGTTCGTTCTGTCCTGTGGCACCGCCGTTGCATAGCCGTTAAAAGTTGAAGACATGAAACGATTGAAGATTTTTTATCATAGATATCTTCTGAGCATTGTTCGCGTTTGGTGGGACCACTGTGTGAGCAATGTTAAAGTCAGGCAAAGGATATGAGGCAAGAGAGACAAGCCGGTTGGTCGTGAACCTTCATAGGGTGAGGTGGATTAGACACGTGTTGATAATGCCGACTCCCTGTGTACCTTAACGTGCCGTGCTAAGGAAAGCTGGATTAAATTGTAAAAAGGTTCAACGTGGCCAGATAAAAACCAGTGCTTGAAGTCGCTTACTGTTACTCTGAGTCGTAAAGTGCTATGTAGACTGACTGGTTGGGGTACTGGGGAAGAATGGAATCGGTGGTTAAGAACTCTTGGTGAAATGTTTGAAGATCGGTCATAATAGCGCAAATGTATTTGTATTTGTATGTACTTGACACATTCTAAAGCTTAGATATTTTCACTAATCTTCATCTTCAGAGTGATTATTGTCTCACACCACTTTATCTACTTTGATACCACTTTTCTATCCACCTGTTTTTTCGTGCACTACTATGAAGTGAAGAAAACTGAGCCAGTTTACCTGTGTGCAAGGTTTTACGTTAATTTTGTCATTCGGTCTGTCATTCGCAACTTAAACACTTTATCATTAACGATTTGCACTTCCCTACTGAGTGACGCTTAACTTTAAATATCCAGTATGTTTCATTTTGGAAAGTTGTCAGTGCATAAAATGAAACTACTCCAAGGTTATTTATGTAGTTAGAATATTCTACTGATGGTGACATATTTGAGGTGTTTCTGTTACCACGAGTAATAACTTGGGAATTTTCATAGCCTCGGTTGCTCACGAAACTTTTAAATAGTGAAAACTTTTGACTGTTAACAATTAACTCAATGACAGTGTAGAACGAAAGGAGGAAGAAAAACGCTTAAGTAAACAACAGCCGAGCCTAATTATGAGATATAATAAATCTACACAGTTAAATGAAAATTTGGTAATAAACTATTCTGTCAATCAAAGGTTGATTGCATAATTTTGCACATACATAAGAGATTGAATTTAATTAACTACATACAAGCGGATAGAAATGATATACCTGGTTGACAGTGAAGCAGTACACGCTCAACCAACTCAGCGACATCTTTCAAGGCTGGAGGTGTTTCAATTGGTTCAGCCTTCAAAGTGATATAAAACCTATAGAAAAGAAATGTATAAAAAATAGGTAGAAAAGGTTTAATAAGCACTTTCACTATATTTATTTATATTTCTCAATTTCTATTATTGGTGGAAGAGGAGCAACTTTAAAAGCCACCCTAACAACTGATACTATCATTTACATTCTTATATTTTATGAATAACAACCTTCCCAACCGAAATGTTGAAGACTGATTGGTTTTTTCATCAGTTCATTGAGTGGCCTTTAAAGTTACGCATAAGGCGGTATGTCTGGAGAAAAAACGATTACAAAACTATCTGAACTTAACAAGTGATTTCCAATTCCATTGAAGATAAAAAAAAGGTAGACTAAACAATGAAATTTGTTCCAGTCTAAAATTCAATATCACAATCACTTGAAATTAGTTGTTAAGATGGTTACAGGAGTATTCAGAAGAAAAAGGAAACGTTTATAAAATAGGTGCATGCATAAGAGAACACACTGCAAAAGTACTACCAATACTTTTAATAGTGTTTTATTGCAAATTGTTCGAAATCTTGAATTAGTATCGTTTACGCTCGTCGCAAACTTGAAACCGATGTAAGCCATGATCAGTATAACATTCCACTTATCTCAATTATATGCTAGTAAGTCCATTAGCTTTTTTAAACATGTTATTAAAGGATCCTTATGTGAATCTTTATACAGGGCGTTGACATCTGAAATGAAACCTTACAAAAGTTCGATTTCTGGTTAAGTGGCCTTGGTATCAAACTTTTAACCACTGGTTCAGAGAACAAAACACAGCTCCAACGTTTCAACAGTCAAATAGTAGCATCAACCTTCTTTTTGTTACTAGAGCACTTGAAGTGTATTGATAGAATGAGTGATGACAGGATTGACACTAAAGTCATGTATCTTCTAAACTACAATAATCAAAGTTCTGAGCGCATTCAAGTGCTTTAATCACGAGCTAAAGATACAGCACAGAATTACATAAAATCTGTGCAAATATGGAGGATCACAGTTAAAGGCGAACCATACATAAAAACAACAGATACTTGAACACTGATATCTTCGATTTGTTTTGTATGCCTGTATGTGTAAGTATGTATTTAATCATGTCTCTAAGGCATAAACTATCCAAGCCTGATCAAAACCATCAACAAAATACACATAAAAACAATATTGGAAGTTGGTGAAGGGTCATCGTCTCCTCACAAAATCTATAAGTCAACTGTATCAAGCAGACGCATTCAAAATGTATCGTCTGCCAAACACAACTTTTGAAATAGCCATTCAGGTTTTGCTATTTCGTCTAAAAAAGGTGTTCTTTTATAAATTAGAGAAAAACAACCGGTTATCTCACCAGTCATCAGGGTAGTCTTTAAAGTCACTCCCAAACACTAAATACTCTATTATTTTCACCCAACTTCTAATTCATTTTCTTGTCTTCTTTCGATTAATCCCACTGTTTTTCTGATCAACCTAACCTTTGCTGTTGCTGGAAAGTGAGAAACCTGGTGTTTATGTCTCCTAATCATATTTAATTTAAATTTTTGAAGGACTTTAAATCCTTCGGAGGATAAGTCGTTTGAAATGGGGATAGCAAAATCAATATTAACACTGTTTGCATCTTTGAATATATGTAAATAAATTTCAAAATAGAACTCTAAGGTAGCTAAATTTAGTAGATCAGTGAATTCGAGTGCTACAACAATAAAGAAGGATTAACCATAGGAGTCAGTACTTACAAGCTTTGAAGCCTCTGCAGTTTATGGAATTGATTAGCTGGAAAATGAAATGTAAAGTTACTCGAAAATGATTTTCAAACTCTGTTACACAGATCTGGTTACATAGGATAAATAAAAGTGACAAATATATCATAAATATGCCCAGTTTTACTGAGTATCTAAGCTTTTAACTATTTGCCCAGGGGCTTTGGATAAGTAGAAATTTTTCAATTCCATTTTATGGAAATATGATTGTAGAAAGAGTCATACTTATACTAACGAAATTTGATTTAGGTAGTTTCACATATTTTTCAAAGAGAAACAGAAGCCGTTTGATTTTCAGAGAGATTGGGAACTTCAAAGATTCTACCTTTGGATTTTCATGTTATTCTTGAGGATAATTTATTCTATGCTATGATGCATTTCTAAATACTCATGTTGTATGTTAAGTAAAACTGAAATGTAGGCTATACAATGCTCAAAAATACTTGATAAGGTTGAAACTATACACTTGAAATTGTAGTCGTTAAATGAGATGTTAACCTCATTCAGAAAAAGCAATTATTATAAAGCTGACTTTCTGATGACAGTTCGTTTCATAAGTAGTCAAAATTTTTATGCGATTCAAAAACTTCGACGTCTAAACTATTATGTTCCGAACAGTTAATTATAACTCCAAAATACATCCACTTTAGTATTATTCTTTTTCTGTTCATTAGTTCACTGTATGCTGCTGTGAAGCGTGATGCCTTGAACCAATTCATTACTGCGGAAGGTTGTACTTTGATTTCGTCCGTTTGGTGAAAGAATTATTATTTTTTTAATAGTCCCTTGAGTTCCTAATGGAACATAATGCTTCAGAAGCACGTCTCCATTCCACTCTGTTCTCTGAAATCCTCTGAACCTGGCTCCACAACTACCCACTAGCTCTCATTTCCTCCAAGCACCATCTCCTCCATGTCACCCTCGCCTCGGACGCCCAACTCGCCGTTTCCCATCTGGGTTCCACTCGAGTGACTGACCTGGCGAGTGATGTCCCCGAATGGTCTTCTCAGTGCATGTTCAATCCATCTCCACTTCCTTCTGCATATTTGTTGGGTGATAGGTTCCTGCTTCGTTGGTTCGTTCCCAGAGCTCCTTGTTGCTTATTCTCGTTATTCTGACCATCTCAGCTTCAGTAACGAGCCAGCTTAGGCAGTTGTTGATGAATGTCAGTAGTTTGTTGGAACCATACAGAAGCACTGACTTGACTGATTTGACGTTGGTGTTGAAAATCCGGATCTTGTTCACGCTTTATGCTGAGTGCAGAAGATCTCCACACTGGTTTCAGGTTGATGAACGCCTGTCTTGCTGTTTTTCTGATTCTGACTTTGACATCCTCGTCTATGCCGCCTGCAGTTGAAACAGTGCTGCCTAGATAGGTGAAGGAGGCTACTTCCTTCAAGTTTCTCTCGTTGATGGTGATTGGAGCTTGTTGTTGCTGTTGTTGTTGGTGCGGTATCATCATCACCTCCGTCTTCTCTATATTCACCTGAAGTTGAGGTAGAGGGTTGACTGCCATTCTATACTCTGTTCTATAATGATGCGCAGCTTAGTGTTGCAATTTGGTCCGCACATGATTTTTATTTCTTGGGGCCTGCCTGTTCCAGTCGTTGTTTTGAATCAAGCGCATCCTTTAGCCACTCGAGGATGATGCGGCTTAATATTTTGTCTGGGATGGACAGGAGAGTGATTCCGCGTTAGTTCTTGCAAACACTGAGGTCTCCCTTCTTCGGCAGTTTGACAAGGTAACCCTTCTTCCGATCACTAGCCAGGTACCTTCTCTTCCTTCCACACCTTCTGCAATAGTGGTGTGTTGTGAGCATGTCCGCTGTTGTCTCTGCTTCGGCTGTCAATGCTTCTGGTAGGGTTCCATCTGGGCCTGCTGCATTTCAGTGGCCATATGGCGTTTAGGACTTCGACGTTCGTTATAGGATTTCTGTTCACTTATAGTTTTGTGGCTGCAGGTGGTATTTCTGGGCGAAGTGCAGGTGGTGGTCGATTAAAGAGATTTTTGAAGTGGTCAGCTCACCGTCTCCTTTGTTTCTATTCTTTCGTAATTAACTTTCCTTCATCATCTTTTATTCGTTTCATCTGTGTTGATCTCTTCCCACATAGTAATCTGGTTATTTGATGAAGTGTTGTCAGGTGTCTGTCTCTCCTACCTGCAGCCTGTTCTGCTTCACTTGCCAATGTGTCGTAGAAGTGTCTTTTGTCTTTGCGTGAACTCTTCTTCACTTCTTTGTCCAGTGTTTTTTACATTGTACTCGGTTCCTCTTCTCGTTGTGCATCCTTGCACTGGTCTGTCTTCTGTTTCACCATCCTCCTCTCCCTGCCCTGTCAGCTCCCATGTATCCATCGAGATTCATTCCAGTCCTTGTCTTCTTTCTTCTTCCTTCCTTCCTAATACGGCTGTGCAGGTTTCCTTCCACATCTCTTTCAAAGAGTTCCAGTGTTCATCCACACAGGTTTCTTCAGGGATGTTGCTCGGTATCTTCCATTTTGTTCTGCTGACTGTTGTGAAGATGTCCCTTGTAGTTTCGTCATTCAGTTTCTATTCTGTGTGTTGAACTTGTACTGTGGTCTATCACCAGCTTCCTTGAATGCTTTCAACTTGATTTTGAAGGTTCCTTGCACTAGTTAGTGAGTGGTCTGTGCCTAAATCTGCTCCTCTTCTTGACCTTATGTCAAGTAGGCTGCGTCTCCACTCTCTTCACATTCAGATCGAGTCGATCTGATTTTAAGTTTGTCCTGGTGTCTGGTGAAATCCATGTCGCTTTTTGGATATCCTTGTACTTGAACACAGTGCCTCCAATCACCAAGTCGTTGAATGCACACAATTCTCCAAACGGTTCTCCATCCTCATACATCATTTCATCGAGTGCTTCTCGATCCATGGTCAGTTCTCTTCTTGTGTTGTCTGCTCCCAGTTTCGCATTCATGTCGCCCATTAGAATTTTGATTTCGCCAACTGAGGTGGTGTCTTGTCCAGTGTTGATTGCAGTTGTCTGTAGAACTCCTTCTTTTTCTCTTGATCTGCATTATTTGTAGGTGTGTAGTGTAGCATTGCATGGTTGTGACTTTCCTTCCATTTGAGTTGAACCTAGCCGTTATGATCCTGGAGGAGATTGGTTCCTACTGCATGAGGGTCTTCGATGCTCTTCAAGGGGACATCATGATAGCCACTCGAAAACTCAGTGTGTTTTGCTGGTGGTTGTCGTCTGGGTGACAATATTGGAGTAGATTATTGATTCTCCAGTTGACAGTTTGGAGAGTCCACTCACGTTCCATCTACTCTTGCAGATTCCTAGCACATCTGTGCTATACCTTCCCAATTATTTTGCAATCTTGTCAGGCTTGCTTGGTTCAAACATGGTGCAGACATTCCATGTCTCCACGTTTACTTTCACTTTCATCGAGAGGAGAGACGACACATCGGCCCGGCCAATTGGCTTCCCGAAGACTTTCACCAACTGGCATCATTTCGCCTCTCCGATTCCAGCGAGGAATGATTTTGTTATTATTTTTTATATTTTGTTTGTGCTGTGAAGTTTCTTTAGCGGTTAGATTTGTTTTCCGGGGTAGGGTTGCTAGCCCTATGCCCAACCTTCCCTCTTTATGGGGGCTTGAACCGGCTAGTAACAAGTGAACTAGTTAACCAGGCGAGGTTTTGTTGAAAGAATAGGTAGTATTAATGCTTCATATCAGGCGAAATCATCTTAAACATTAGCTGATTCTTCGCGTAACAAAGGGTGGGACCACCCAAAGAACTTAGTGATCTTAGTCTGACCCATACAAGCGGCGTAGACCTCTTGGTTGCAATCAACGAGATGGTATCTGTCAGTGGATTAAACCGATCAAAGTAGGTCAAGCTTAATTAGAGTTGAGCAGATACCCTCAATATTTGTTTGATTTGTTCTTTTTCAGAGTATCAAACACAATCTGATTTGCAAAATGACAGCTTCTTGATTATAGTCTCGATATTAAGCATCGTTATTACCATATTTATTCATATCGGGTCTTACCATTACAATTTTCTTCATCAGAAGAATCTACTATTTCTTCTTGTTGAGTGCACGCTAGATCATCTTCATCATCACTTGCTACAAAGAAACGGTGCTGATCTTCACTTTGAGGCGAGGAAACAGCATCCGAGCTGCTGGGTGAGGGGGCTTCTGATTGGGTTTTAGACCTCATTTTGCTTTCTTTTATGTACTGTTGCTCAATGCTTTCTTTAGCTCTTAGTATCTCTCCAACTTTTGGCCACCTATAACCCAGTACCTCAGTACTTTTTTTTTGTTTCAGTCTATGTCTAGCCTCTTGACGACCGTAATCAAGTGCTTTTTTCCACAAGTTTGGTGGCTTTGACTGATACCCAGTAGAGCTTATAGCTTCAGTTGTTAAATTGAACTTCATTCTAGCTTCTTCTATCAGGTGACGTAATAGGTTGACAGGATTAGAAAATGGAGCTATCTGCGTAAGTCGAGGTAGATGTTCACACAATGCTCGAACCCACCACCATGACGTAGTTGTACACATGCTTGCACGATCATAACACTGATGCTACAAAATCGGAAATAAATGATAAGCTATAGACGAAACAGGAGTTACTAATATCAGATTAACAAACTCATTTGAAATGTGAAAACATCTTAGACCTGAATTTCTTATAACTTATGCCGTGCATTTAAAAACGTGATATATTTAAGGCAATAAAACATTATTTAATTTTCTCTGGGTTATTGCTTGCAATTTTTCTTTGTTGATTGGACCGATCTGATCGGTTTCTATTGTCACATGGGCTCCTGCGCAGGTGTCTCACTATTGCCTGAAATTTCATTTCAGTAGTATTGATGTATGGTGGATGGCACTGGAGTTCAAAACGCGCATTTCTACCTGGTCGGGACTCATCATCTGGATGCATAAGCAATAATATAAGAAAACTGTACCTATTGCGCAAGAAGTGACCATCGTGACTTAGCGGTTTACTGTATAATGCTCTGGAGTTAGAAGCATTCGGTCCCGGGTTCGTCTCTTAGTGGGAACAACATCGCTTACTCAGAGGCAGGTATATCCAGCTGACGAGCCTCGAATACGTAGAAACGCACATCCTCGGCTCCACTGCTGGCTATTATCCATTATTTTTATTTTATTTTTATGCAAAAGGAGTTCGGATCACCTCATAATATTCGTTTCGCCAATATTGTGAACTTTCAGCCATTCAGTCAATAAGGAATTGGATCAGCTGGAACTGAATGCTTTAAATGGATGCTAGCATTTTCATGTTTCTCTTCATTTTTGTTCAAAATTTGAATGGTTTCAATGTCAGACGAAATGGTACCCTTTGATGAGTCAACTCAGAATGGCGAAGTAGCAGATAGTTTAAGCAGCAGACATAGAAGCATTGGATACAGAGTTAAACACTTCTCCACCTTATTTTTCCTGCGAAACCGGATAGGAGCATCAGCCCAGCTTGAATTACCTTCCGGCAGTTATCAACTCAAAAATCCACAGCGACTATTAAGAAAATGAGAGATAAGTCCTAGACCTAGACAGTAAGGTATAATGATGATGAATTTGCTTAGTAACGTTTGATAATTAATTCTAATCATAAACATTTATGCTATTTCATTGAAAGTTAGTTCATACAGCATCACACACATAAACATATGTCAAATATTTAGCTAATAGAGAAAAGGTTTAAATTATCAGTCTATTGGACCTTAATATATAATTAATTTGCTTCCAATAGTTCAGACGTAATACACTTCATTTTATATAGAAATGCTTTTCTCGCGGTCGAACAACTTTTGTGTCTACTTCAAAGAAACGTTTTGAAATGAGTTATAGTACATCTAGTTCTATGGTAGCATACCTAAGAAGAGTGAAACAGATGTGTAAGTAATTTCAAGAAATATTTCACACTCACCAACTGCAGAATTAGTTTTTCTAGTTGAGCGAAATAAGCATCAGCAACAGTTGTTAAATTGACGGCATCTTCAGCATTTGATTCAAGCTCGTTTAATAGGTCATTGGCATATTTTGATACGCCTTGTTCATTACTTTTAACTTTTGATTGGTTAGCGATTGGCAAAGAAATAACGATAGCAGCAATCCTGATAAAGTTGTTCGAAAAAATATCAAAAAATGTGTGACAATGAATTTAATGAGCATTTGGAGTTAAAAAATTTCCAGCATATATAGCAGGTAAATAATAGGAGAATTGCTCCAAAGAATACTACCGTAAGTAGGACCTTGAACAGAAAGGATAATTCACCTTTAAAATCTGAGGACAGCAGTAAGAGACATCAGTACGCATACTGAAGAACAGTTCAAGTGACCTACAGTCACATTTCAGCTGCCCAACGAACCTAAGTGTAATGTAAGTTCAATTCCTCCAGCTTTCCTTGAAGTTAGGAAAGCTATTTCAAACCTGAGACGATTTGTAGCAGCATAACATGATATTTTGCAGCCAGAAGGTTTTAAGGAAGAATACAGAAAATTAATAATGACAATAACGGAGGCCTTAACTAGTACATGAAAGTCAAAAGTAGGCCCAACATAACTTTTTATTTAGTTAGTTGTTTTAGTTTACAAGAAAAAGATTTGTTTGTTGGTACTTGTAATCTCCCATTGTTATACTGGGTCAAATTTCTCGACAGCTGTTAGCAGATGGGCTGCTATGTGGAGGCCTCAATACTGTCTGGATATTCATTCTATTATAGTCTATTTGATGGTTGCCAGTGGAATCCAGGGTGTACTTTTCGTCCTCTTCGGATTTCATCAGCCGGATTTACCTGCTCCTCAGTGACTGGTGTCGTTCCCACCGAGACTGCAGCCCAGATGTCGAGCGATTCGACCCAGTGTAGTTACAAAATCCTCAATTACCAATAAACAGTAACTGATAGCTGTTCCACAAGTAACGGCTCTCGTGTTCCAGTGGCCTAGTGAACAACACTTTGGCATTTGAAGCGATTGGTCCTAGGTTCGAGTCTTAGTGGGAACAATATCTCTTACTGGGGTTCAAGTACATCTAGTCGATGAGTATCAACTAGAACGAAACGTGCGTACTGGATTACACTGTTAGCCAGCAAATGGACTACATGGGAGAGGAGTACTCATATGACAACCAATTGTTGTCCTCTCTCTGTTCAAGTTTGTGAAGTGGAATATATGTATTAGTCAATTAGGCGATCATGGTGTCCTTTTACTAACAAGTGAAGTGATGTATTAGCCTGATTGGAATGCTCGCGGATGAAATCGTTTCTTGAATTAGAAAGATTTGTTTGGCAATGCCAGCATAAGCTACTGCCGCTGTGACCGAAACATCTGACTAATTATCAAAGGACGCGTACAATGTGCAGTCTTCCACTTTGCTTTAATGCATGGTTGTTTGATTAAGTCTTAGGAATTAGGTGTCTTCGTAGCACCGCTCATGGGAGAAGAAATTTCCTTGTGAACAGAGTGAATTTTGGGGTGAAGGTAGTGAGTAAGGAAAATAAGTCAGTCTATGAAGCTGTGAACCTTATCGGTCGGCTTTAATTCAACGTATGTTGCACATGTTAAGTTACTGCAAAGTTAGTGGAATTGAAATTAGTCATTAAAAGCTAACAGTGACCAGAGCAAGGCGTAGTAGCGGCTCAGGAGGTGCTTACTGTTGGTTCTAGCTACCTATGAAGACGTAAACAACCCAGCTGGAGTCCTAGAGAAGATAAGAATCAATGGTTGAACAATCTTGATGACATGGCTTAGAGCGAATCATAAGGGTGCAGATGCAGGCAATCTTTATCATCCTCAAATTTTTGAGTATTTTCACTAACCGGTACCAATTTAGGCTCTCTCCTTTCGTGCTCTTTGATCGACTTTAATATAGTCTTTTTTTCCATCCACTCTTTTTGGTTTGCTGCTTTGAAGTGTGTCAATACAAATAGCCAGGTTCTACGTTGATTATTCTGTATGCCTTTCTGTCTGTACATAAGCTATCAATGAGTTGCGAGAAAATAAATGGCGAATTATTTAGCTTTCAAAATGCTGACAACATATTTTATGTATATTCTGGTACTTTTTCTTCACGAATCAAAGTATCCGACGACGACGCATTCACCTAAGATAATAAATACTCCATGCTCAAAGAGTGACATAACGACGAGAAAGAAAAAAAACTTTACAACAAGTGAATTGTAAGACCAAAGTCCTACAGTGAAATAACATGCAATCACTTAAAACTAAGTAACAAATGTGGGTAGAACTCACAAGCGAAGGACTTTACGAACAGCTAGGATTCTGACTTCACGTGGTAGAATCACTGAATTGGCATCGAAATCAGGAGGTAGAAGAGCCAGTGGCCATGTTATAAGGTATGGTAATATAGGAGATAACAAAAGTCCACCAGTATGACGTACTTTGGCATCAGGTCGACTCGAATTCAAAACTGGTGGTAAATACGGACATATAATGGTTTCCATTTTTGTAACTAATTTGAAGATTATTGATGTTAATGGATTATTACGGGACAATGATTCTTTTCTGAAATATTTTTCAGTCGACTGAGTAAGCTGTAGGCTGTCAATGCAAAAATGAATAGTGAGATTGAAAAGATAAACTATAAGGTACTGAATGATGACAAAATCTTTAAAGTTTTCTGGAAATACCATGGAAAATAACTTGGGAAATATCATATCCTACAAAAGTAAACTTTATTTAGGTAGATGAATTATTTTGCAAAGAAGACGTTAAACTTAATCAAAGGCCAATATCGCAACGATCCACCTGCTAGAGGTCAATCTAGGTTCAAACTAATTTCGTTATTTCTCTAGTAACTTGTATTTATCACGAACTGATCCCTTATTAATACATGGTATAATTAACTAAAGGTGACTGAAGAATAACAAGTTCATATGGACACTTAATGGAGTCAGGTCATTGAGCTCCTCAAGATTTGTCTTTTATGGTAATTTACAGAGCTACATTAAACTACTTCAAAGGTCTAAATTTCCATCACTTATGCATGATCAAAAGTCGAAACCATGAATTTAAAAGCGCTTTTGAAACCATTTTCTCTACACTAGCTTTGCCGATGTACTTATGGTTTGTTTGTTAACTTCATAGAACTTCACTTTGCAGATTTCAACTTAATTATCATCATTAACATCATTTTACACTTCTCTGACATAACTTACCTTTATATCACCACTTGAAATCATTTCGTTCCTTATTCAGTGACTTCTTTTCTGTTTCATTCACCTGAACCAATCCCTCTACCACCACCAATTGTATGATGTGCATATTGACTTAGTAACATGTTTTTTGTATCTAACTGACATTTTACCAGTTATAAATACTACCCTATTACATGTTAATAAATTCGTTGAAAAAATACTTCTTCGCCGATAAAAATCGTATTCCTTTCACTCGTGAAAAACCGGGTACATTTGGTCAATTAAAACTTTAGTCAAATATAAAATTCTGATCCTTATTATACTCCGAATGGAAACAACCATTTCGTCTGCCTCAGAGTAAGTCGATCTTTAAAGTTAATGGCAAGATTGAGAAGTTGAGAGAAAGAACGCCAAAGTCTCAAAATGCAACGTGCTGTGATAACCTGGAAGCAGTTTATCGTAGAGTTGTACATGAGGTGATGAAGCAAATACTTTACGAATGTATTCACCGGCCAAATTCGGCCGCTATATCGTTTCGTCATCGAAGACAAATATTAACATGAAGAGGAGAACTTCGAACTAAAGATGTCTGCGTTTCAGAAGCCTGATTATTATGTAGCTTCATCAAAAGAGTATATTTCAAATACGGCAGTCTACGCATAAGCTTAAACTAAGTTCATATAGTTAAAAGCTGGTTATAACTGCTGGATCGTTAGTAACATGATTACTGATCTTTCTAGTTAATGAATGAAGCGTTATTCGCATGTATGTTATTCTCACAATAATCTACTCCTAAGACATTTCTCATCCACTTAGTTTCAAAATAATCAAGCAGAGATATAAATACAGTCAAATGCAGAAAAATACTAAGTTCCTCATCGATATTTAGGGAGGAACAGGTTACTAGTTGAAAATCAAATCACGTTTCGCTTTTCTAGGCAAACTAATATCCAATATCTCACGTACGGTTCTTACAATAGAAATGGTATTGCATGTAGTTTCAATAAAACTAACCCTAATACAATCAGAAAATAAATTAACAAATGACCATTGACCTTTTCAATAACTGTTATAAAAATCACTAATGTGCTAAGTAGCCACGTATAAATGATATTTACAATCCAGAAATAGGTTTTTCTGTGTTTCGTATGTGATGAATTCATCTAGTGAATATTGTGATCAGTTTGTTTTTATATGGTAAATATAATGAATGAAAGACTAGCATGATAATGCACCCGAAGCTAACCCACCAATATGCTAAGCACAAAAGCACACTTAATGAAAACTATGAATAAAGTTACATGCAACAAGGTACATTGAAAAAAACTTTACATACCATGAAAGACTTGGTTTTATGTTGTGGCCAATTGTGTTGCATCAAAAGAAACTAATATGGGTTCATATTTAGGTCCAAGCTTCACGTCCATGCGTTGAACGAATTCGACAAAGCCTCTAACACATTCCGCCTATGATTTTTACACAAATGAAATATTATCACATCAGCTTATCGCACTTGGAAGCTATACAATTCTCAGAAATTGTTAAGAATAGAAATAAGTAAAAATACCAGTAGTCTTTGAAAACATGAAAAGTATCATCTTTTATATAGAATTCAATGTATATTTTATCAGTTCAGGTTTAATCTCACCGAACAAGAGAAAAAAATCACTCTCTTCTCCGGGTATATAGACTAGAGCGGTTGAGATAAGGGATGACTGACAGTCACCTTTTTAACGTTTTGGTAGGTAATGAAGACCTTATCAACTACCCTGGTTCTGCTTTACGTTTCCTGAGAGTTGAGTATTTTGATCTTTAAGTTACCAGTGAAGCTACAAAGTCTTTAAGTGAGACAGACACTGAATCCTCGTAAGCCTAAGGTGCTTCCATTCATATTTATTTTACAGCTTTTGTTTTGCAGCATTTTTGTTTATAAATAAATACCAAATGACGTCTGTCTGTACTTTCTAACTACTTTTCGTTTGCCATTATTAGGAATAATAATTACTAAGGCTAACTGGATTGTATCCAAGCCACTTATTTACCTAATCTATCTTTCTTGTACAGGTAGGTAAGCTGCACTTAAAAAGTAAAGATATAATTTTATTGTAAACTGAAAAGGAAAAATAACTAACAACAGAAAGCTACTTTCTCCGCTAGATTATCCCACTCGCCAAACAACAACTAAATATATGAAAATACTTGACAATATTTTAAAATTTATTGAAGTAACTTCAGTCATGGAATTAACTTACCACATCGCTTGGATCTACTTCGAGATTACGCTGAGTGTATGATAAGTTTGAAAATGGATCCGGTCTCATGCTTTCCCAAGTGCATGCTACAAGCGATAAATTAGACAGTCTATGCATTAGACAAAGGCAACGCAAGGTGCACTCCATTGATAAGATACCAATAAACATGGGCACTGTGGTATTAAACATATACTGTTGGCAACTTCGAAGCCATAATCTTGATTTATCCGGTGAAAATAGACCATAAAGTAGTGGTCCATTCAAAATAGGAATTGTTCCAATACTGGCATATCTTTCAGTGAAACCTGGTTCTTGTTCTTCCTTTTGTAAAATTTCATCATACTGGCACAATTCAGATAGGCCATCACGTAAAAGTATCAAGGTTGCATAAGACATCATAGTCGGTGGACCAAGCATATGTGATGAAATTAGTTCCAATAGAAGATCAGCATCATAACATCGAATAAGTCTTCCAATGTCATAAAAAGCCTGCGCCCATAGAAAAAAAGGTTGGAAGGCGTTTATATCCATGATTAGTGGCTGTAAGAGGTAATAAGAGTTAATTAGCAGTGATGAAATTAAAGCCATTGTTGAGAAATATAATATGAGTTGTGGCGCTAGTCACAGTCGGCTTTAAAATGGGAATGACTGGTCGTATAATTGTTTTATCATAAATTGATGGAAGTTGTGTAGGATAGATGGCTGGGAGAGATAATGGTTTAATTTGTGTTCGCTCATTCAGAAGCTAATTGTAAATTATTACATAAAGGTACAATATCATTCAGTGAATATGAGAAAGTAACAGTTAGTTGAATCATATTTCAGTACATGTATTCAAGACAAAAGTGCTGCATAAAATGGCTTGTTTTAGCTTACAAACACTAGGAGGTTACCAATAAAAACTCAAATCAGTGCAATAATGAGTTAATTAAACAAATCATAAAAAATATATATACTAAGTAATAGTGACTTGAAGCACTCATTACACTTGTTTAAGAAAAGATAATTCATTATTATTACTGTTATTTGTCCCTTGGGTTCCCAGTGGAACATAAGGCTACAGTAGCATGTCGCCATTTCACTCTGTTCTCTGCAGTCTTTCCAACATGGCTCCAAGACTGCCCATAAGCTTTCATTTCCTACATAATATCTATTCACATCAAATGTTGCAAGCGCTAATAACTAAGCGACAATAAGTTAAACAGAATGAAATAGAATACCGTAACGCGTTATAAATCATCGTGACAAATTAAGCCGAAATCGGGCTACTTGAATACCTCTAGACGAATGCTACCTGCAGCCTGTAGGAGAATATTTCAATAAGGTTTTCGTCTTTTTAAAGGACTTCTACACAAGTAGATTATAATGCTTCAAACAAATCATACTAATCACATTAAAGCCATGTCACACATACACACACACAGACACGCACTTCCGTCTTAGTTCTGCTGGCTTACTCCTTTAAAGGGAGATTTCTATTTAAGTGGAATCCAATGACATTTCAAAATTCTTAAATTGGCTCAACTAAAGTACAGTCAAAAAATGTTTGAACCATAAGGTACCTGACCATTACGTTGCTTTCAGCGACTAGTAGTCTAGATTTTATCATGTGAATGTCATTCAGCTGTGTACATTCACTGTCAGAAAAGGATATCAAAAGTTTCAGACACACTAAATTGGAACTTTGTGAAGGTTTTAGACTCTCTTTAAAAGAATTTCATACACATAAGGAAGTAGGAGATACTAATGTGGGATAATGACTACTTTTACTTGAAGATACGTAACTGTACTATTCAGATTCAAGTAAAGTATGCACTGCACTTGGTACCTACAGTTGATTTGTCGACAGGGAATAATTGATTGATAGACTTGTTTGTATGTACACCTTTCGAAACCATTCTTTTCCATATTACTTAGAAGTGGGGAAGCTGAAGTCACTTGTGTTTACTAATACTTTCTCAGTTGCTCAGGGGAAACTGAACCTGTACAAATACGTAATGGCCGGCAATCACATCTGTCTATTTCTGGAAGGTAACAAGAAAAATGCGTATAAATCACGAACAATTACAGTAATATAGCAGGTCACTTCTTGAAAAATTCATACTTTTTTGGCCGTACGATGTAGTTCAGCGTTCTCATCCAACAAACATTCCGTACAATGTTGGAGCATACTGAACAATATAGACTTCATACTGATGGAATCAAGTTCCACGCGACTATTATTCACTTTGCCTATCGAAGAAAATGGTTGCGCTGTACTAAGTTTTCTCAGCCACGTTTGAGCCTTACTCACCTCCAGTTGCTTTGCCTGTAAAGAAACAGCATGTTTTATAATCACTAAAGTTGTCTACCAGTCTTGTATATATATATGACATAATGAGCAGAAGTAAAATTTTATTCTAGAATTGCCATAACAATATGTATCTCTTACGTTGTATTTAAAATAATTATTTGACTAATATTTGGGTAATTGTCCACTCGAAATAGAAAAAACTAACAACGTGAGCCAGAAAATAAAACGGCACTTGTTATATCCATAAATCAGCAGAGATATGAACAGACCACCATGCTTTTTCGCAGCAGTTACAAACACTTAAATTACACCATGTAACTGGAAGACGAAGTTTATCTGAACAATGTGATGTATTTGGGCAATTGCAGCGTTTAGATGATTGATATTTTTATGAATTAGTTTGAACCATACAAAGCTTAATTTTGTGAATGTCAACAGCAGCAAGGCTGTAAACCTATTATGTTGCAACTTTTATCATATAGGACGAGGAATTGGATGTCAGGAACAACTAGGATAATAAAAGTACGACGAAAAATGCAGTTATCCTGTTGTATATACTTTTAGGTTTGCACGGTTGATATTAGATAAAGAATTCAAAATCGAATCATTACAGTTAGGAGCATTTTGTGACCGCCGTCTGCTGTCACGTATAGTGTTGATCATGCAAGGGTAAAGAAAGATCAATCCTTTATGTCAGTAGGAGTCGAAACAAGATATATAGAGAAATGTAAACTTCCTAGAATAGACAGACGAGATATCATAAATGAGTAGTTAGAGATTCTGAGTAACATGACCCATAGCCAACAACAATGGTACAGGTGTACTTAATATTCATCTTTCTTATAATTGTCAAAGCCTTATCGCTTTACATCTACTTCCTTTCTGTTCACATGATTTTGATTAAGAAGCTTTCTTCTTATTTTGCTGATTTAATCTTACTACTGAGTTTGCATTTATCTGTAGATTCACTTCTGCTTGAATTTCAGCATTGTCGTACATTTTTATATCGTTGACTAATCGTCTTATTTATAAAAATTACCCGAAAGTATACCAATCAGAAAACCATAGCATACACAAAGTTTAGCGGTAAGCAGCGATTTCCCCTCACTATCATTTACTCACTTAAAACTCATGAGTAACCAATGTTTCCATTGACTCAAATATCTACAAAACACTAAACTAAGTACATTAGTATAATATTTTATAAGATTCCATACATACACATAGCCACCACAATACGGGAACAGAAAAAATTAGGAAGATGAAAGAAGTGAAGTTAGCGACACATGTTGACCAATAGCTAATAAATAGTTCATAGAACTAAAAGGTGAGATAGACTTCTTAAGAACAAGTTAAATTTAACACAGTGTAGCAGGTTATGCAGAAGGACCTATGTTCACAATATTCACTGTAACTATTCGCAAATTCAGTGAACCTACAACCTGTTCTAAACTAACAAGTGTTAACCTATTATCAAACCCTTTCACTTCAAGGGATTCAACTCAAGGGACTTTACACCTTATTTGAGTCAAAATTGCCAAAGAAGATAGTGAAGGTCACTGGTATTCATTAGACGAAATGCACCGTTCTTGAGCTGTTAACTGGTATAAAATAAAAAGATTTTTTTTGTATATCTTGAAACGGAAGAAATATTATGCCGACCCCAGTTTTTCAATAGAAATTCCAATAATACTAGAACAAAATTGTAACGCAAATGTGAATGTAAACTATGAACCATAAACTCGTTTTTGTTTTATGTTAACGAATATCGACTGTACATGTCCACATACACACACATGATACCCTTGAGAATACTTTCTAGGATGTCAGCATACTTTAAATATAAATTACTATTCTATGTATCTCCAGCAAAACAAACATATTCAATCTTAGAATTACTTGCACAAAAGCCATTTTGGATTTTTTTAAGATGATTAATCCAGGTTCACACTTCTCTTAAAATTACTTAACTATATTGCTGGGGCAGAGGGCTAATCACAACTCGTTGGAGAGGAGATAAAAAGACGTCGGGTATGAGATAGAAATGATGTTATCCAAACGTTGTAAATCTAGCCATATATCTTTGCAATGCGCCTAGCTAGTAAGAATTTGGACTCGTTTTTCGAAACCTGCATTCTAGTAAGGAAAAATGATTTTCTATAAGCAACGATGTGAACAATTAATAATTATGATATCATGATTTAGACAAAGATTAAACATCTACAGTACACCACCTGCTTTACTTATCTGACAAACTCTAACCAGAAAGCATACACCTGGACACATGGCACGATCTAGTATAGTAGACAGACGTTACACAGATAAATGGCATCAGTTATGGTCTGGTTAGCCTCAGCTTTTTGACCACCTAGTTCCACAGTGCACTTAAATATAAGCAGCTAATTTCTCCTATTAAAAATGTCATATCACCCATCTTAATTCGCTAATTTATTACTCTTTACCTGACCTCTAAATTCCTGGCATGATGGCTGCATACCAAAAGAATGGTATTACTATATACTACTGAGCAGTATACTCAGCTCTTAATAAACATTTGGATATCTTGATGCTAGAAGAGGCATCATTTGAAGAAAACCAACCATTTGCTAATATCATAACATCGGTCGATCTATGATAGCTGATACAACGTTTCGAGTAAGTGGTATGGGCGTACTTTCTACTGGCTATCGATCAGAACTAATCCTCAATCAACGGATGAAATAAGGTAAAAGCAAATTCTATGAAGTTTCAAATTGCTGCCAAAATATTCAGCAGAGTCTTACATATTTTCAGTGTATTCATTCGATGTTACTGAGTTATATATGCACTCTAAGGCATTTAAAGGACCCAGCAAGAGGACTAATTTTAAAAAACTTATAGAAGAAAGATATTAACCTCAATAATTGCATCTATGACAAATTTACGTATACAAAAAGAATATATCTGATGTATGCTAATTAACGTCTACAACTTGAAGTTAAGTTTTCGTATGGCCGAACATGACCGAGTGTTCCGGTGTAAACATTTCTTTTCAGTGAGAGACACTTCCACCCAAACTAATCCTGACATTCAGTTAAAATGTACCTGTTTGGTGATCTGATAGAGGATAAAGGTGTGATCAATACAACCACAGTGTGCTTCGAAAGCTGCTTAGCTCCATTTCCACGTTAAGTGATTACGTAAGCTAAAATGGTCAAAACCAGAGTGATTTTAAAGCCCACCGTAGTAAAAAATGAAATAACCAAGTAGGTTTCACTCTTTCGAATGGAAATGCAGGTTTCATAAAATGAGGAGTTTTAATTGGTTATTTCACTTGTTGTTAAGGCAGCGTTAAGAGTCACTCTAAAACCGCAATGATCAAATGAATTCGTTTCCAAAAGGTTTCCCCTTTTATCTTAAGGACTGAGGTTATTAATGATTACGAAAGACTGAAAGAGAATAAGTCAAACTTCCATACCCCATAAACAGCACCTTAGATAGTTTAACTAGTCATTCCTCCAGTGATAACCGATTAATACCTGTTACCTTTCCTTGTTACACACTACATGTAACTTTTTCAGCTTGAACCTTCCTTATATAAACTGACAAAGCTGCAAATGAAAAAAACTAACGAACAGTTGAAAAGCTCTCCAAAACTTCATACTTATTATTCCAGTCTCCTGTTTCATAAAAGTATCGCCGGCAAACCCTTCTTAACTATTTGCTCACTAATGAGAATAGCAGCTTCTCCAGTAAGTAAGTGTTCATTATTATCTGTATTAGTCACCTTCTCCATTTCTTTAGTTTTTCCCGGTTTTTACAAACCAAAATAACTGCATAGATAGTAAGTCAATCTATGCTTGAGCTGATTCTCCGCATTATTATGCTTAAGGTTTAGAAATTTGTTACTTAAAAACAGTCATCAGGATCCCACTGGGCTTGCCTAGCCTTTTTTCTGAAAACCAATTAGTTCACACGATCTTCTCTTGAACAATGAGGACGATGTTAGTCTTGTTTAGTATAAATGATGTTGTCATGCTCCGTGAAACGTTCGCTAGTTCCTCCTCATATACAGTTTTGGTCTCCTTGGAAATGAGCTCATCAAGAACAGTTTTTTAGCAATGATGCTTGTCTTTCAATAATGTGCCAACACACATGGACTGAAGTTAACTCATAAATAATGTCAAGACATGGTCTTCTGATGCAGTTGTTCACGGATCCTTTTCAGGCCTGAAACGTCTGTTATCACCGTTGGATTTAGGTTAATAGCTGCTATATAATTTAGTTTATTCTATCAGGTTTTGCCAGGGACTAGTGATTATCTGAAAATGATTACAACAAATGGTCATCATTATCATTTCACTGTGCTGGTTGACTTTCCTTGTCATTAGATGTAGAAACTAATTACTTGTAGATGCCATTGTACATCTTTTAACAGGAATGTTTCCCAAGATAAACTTGTCCTTTGAAGTCTTTCTCTGGGGGTATGTGATTTGGATTTGACCAAAGTAGATTCACGTTTTAAAAAGCTTTTCTAACTACAACAGTAATATGTGGGACAAAAGGAACGTAGTTTCTTTCAGGTGAAACTTTTCTAAGCCCCTTACTCTCTCAGAGTAATATCATAACTTCATCGTTTTCGAGTGCTTAGCCTGTAGTATATCCTTGATCTTATTCAAAAAGATCATAATTGGTTGGCAAACAAACCTTTCACGAATCCTATTCTCTCCTTTGTCGTTGATTATAAGTTCAGCGAAGTTTAAAATGTGTGAAGACAAAAAGAAAACGAAAACTGTGTATAACGCACTTTTCATAACTGCGATGAGATTAAGGCAACTACGTTTGATCAGGTGCTTACATATTACGCCCACAACTTTAAAGTGATGTATGTGTGATACTCTTCAGGTGTTCGGGCTGGGGTAGGTGGAGCAGGATGTGGACCTAAAACTTATTGACCGAAAGTAAAGCATTCAAGCCAGGTGTAAATAAAATACATGATTTTAAAAAACCTTTACTATCATCAACTAGTTAACAGTCATTAACCAGAGTAACTGAAACTTTCAGGTTTAGGATTCAGTATTTTAAGGCAGTGATAGCCTTAACTAGCCTTTCGAAATTAGACTAATTTGTTGGCTAATACTGCATAATGTTGTGGATACTATTCTGCAGAGTTTCATTAAACACTGACTTGTCAAAGTGGTGCACTGAGTAAAGGTATCAATTAATGCGGAAAAAATTTGAAATGAAAGAGCTAGCTGTTGGGGAATCAAAACTCTTCTGCTTATCACGGTAATGCACAGTATGCATCTACTATTCTCTTCCAATCACCACTTTATAAAATACAACGTCTTGCTTTTAACAATCTACCCGTTTCAATAAAGTTTGAGATTCCTACTACTCAATAATCTAAAGATCAAAACTATAGAGAAATTAACGAAATTAGCATCATGGAAAAAATGAACAGGAAGATTTCTGAAAGTATCCAGTTATCATTACTCCTTCATAATTCACTTTTCTTTTAAAACACACACTAACTTTTTCTCCCATCTCAATCATACGAACATTTTCCAGTACTGTTAAACACATAAATTTTTGTAATGAATTAGATTTTCGCCTTTGTCGAAAGCTAAAAAAAGCAGAAAGTAGAAATATCTGCTTCAGTTATTAAATAGTAAACTTTGAAAATGTAACCTAATGATATTATGATATAAAATGCGTAATATGAATATGAATATGGACAATAAATTATGTCCGAAACGTTATCCAGTAAATGCTACTGTTTCACTGTGTGACATTTCTAATAAACAGACTAAAATGGAATTACACTCGACCACAGTGCCCAAGTTTTACACTTATATTAATGAAACATATGGTCTTCCTGTTCGAAGACTAATCAACAAACTCACACTACTTTCACAGACAGAAGGAGATACACAAACCACCGTATATTCAATATTCGATGTCTCAGAAATCAAATCATTCCGAAATATCTACGTCTACGTGCACCGATTCCAACAGACAAAGTCAAAGCAGCTATAGAACGTGTCAGTAAACTCTGTCTTAAAGAAGAAATTCATAGAATAGTCAAAAAGTTGCACAACATCAGGAATTATATTGAAGATCTTAAGTGTAAGCTGATACAAACAGTTAGCGAAAAAGATTATGAGCTTCTGATGGACAATTTCAATAAAGCAAGATCAGCCGCATTCAAGAAATCCAAAAATACTCAGATTAAGAAGTTCAACAAACTTATAAAAGAAAAGCATGCAGTCAACAGTAATGAAATTAACAATAGCATATCACCGATGATCGATAAGTCAAATCGGGTTGTTAATCTCTCAAGTAAAGTCCTAAGCTCAACAGAAGTGAAAGTTCTAGAGAAAGGTCTTAATTTCAATGTAGCGGTTAAGGAGTTGAAACCAGAAGATGTCATTCCCAAAATAGAAATAGCGTTAAGTCCAATAGATAAGACAACTGCAGATGAGGTAAGAGCACAGTGTGCTCTAACACTGAAACGATAGAAGAAAGTTAAATCTAATCTACCCAAGTCAGAGAGGAAAGCTCTCAGGAACCTTCAAAATGATAACAATATAGTAATTGCCAAATCGGATAAAGGCAACTCGGTAGTTGTGATGAACAAATCTGACTACATCTGCAAGGTGAACGAGCATATAGAAACAGGACCATATGAGGAAATTAAGAAGTCAGTGGATACTATTATGAATAAGGTCAAGAAATCGACAGGGGATCTGATACGCCAGATGAAGCCATTTCTAGGTGAGTCGAAGTAGTTTAATTTAATGCCAAAAACTAATAATCCCAGTAGAATGTACGGTACTATTAAGATTCATAAGCCAGGTTATCCCATCAGGCCTATAGTAGATTTTAGAAACACTCCGACTTACGAGTTGTCTAAATATTTAGCAATGGTGTTAGGTCCAATAAGAAATCACTCAAAGTCCCGACTTACCAACTCTTATGACTTAAAGCATAGGTTAGACGACATACACTTAGACGACAGTGAAAAAAATGGTTAGTTTTGACATAACTAGCCTTTACATAAACATACCGATTGACATGGCTCTGGAGGCAGTTCGAAATGGACTTAAAGATGACAAAGAACTTACGCAGCGAACTAAGCTGCCGATCGAGGAAATCATACTAGGAGTACGATTGTGCCTAACATCTACAGTTTTTAAGTTTCAAAATAAAATATATAAACAAACTGAAGGTGTTGCCATGGGATCACCAATATCCCCTATCGTCGCAGACATATTTATGGATAGTTGGGAACAGATGACCCTTCAAAAATTTAGTCCTACTCCAAAGATATGGTTCCAATATGTAGATGATACGTTTACAGTACTGAAACTGGAACACATCAATAGGTTCTTGGCACATATAAATTCAGTGGTAAATGCAATCCAATTTACCTGTGACTTAGAAAGTGAAGAAGGTGAGCTAGCAATGTTGGATTGCAAGATTAAACGAACACAAGAAGGAAATCTAGAGACTAGTGTCTATAGGAAACCTACACATTCGAATTGCTACTTAGACTTCGAATCCTCCCATCCCATTTCAGTTAAAGTAGGCCTAGTTAAATGCTTAGGTGATAGAGCGAAAAAGCTTACTAGTAGATCGGAAAATCTGCGACAAGAAATTAGACACATCAAGAATACCCTACGTCTCAATAATTGACCACCAAAATTAATAAATAAATTCATAAGAAATCGAAATAAAAATATTAGCAGTGGTAGTAGTAGTAATACAGATGTTACTAATAATAATCCCACTACTAGTGGTAATAATGGCGACAGGGTTAAGGGAGAATTCAAAGCCTCTGCTGTGCTACCATACAAGGAAGACACCTCAGAAGCACTACGAAGAATTCTCAATAAGGCTGGGATTAAGGTGGCATTCAAACCAAAAAGCTCGCTTAGAAACAAGCTTTGTAGGTTAAAAGATCCTATCGATGCAATTAAGAAGTGATTGCAATGTCAAGTACATGGGTGAAAGCAGTCGACTAGGGTCGATTAGAATAACAGAGCACGAAAACGTAGCTAAACCAAGATCAGTAGATCCTAATACGATAAGAAATCTAGAGAAAAACTCGGCTATAGCTCTGCATGCGATGACAAACAGTCACACTGTAGGGTTGGATAGGGTGACAGTTTTGAAAACTAACTTAGTTGGGTGGAGGGAGAGATTGATAACCGAATCTTTGTTTATCGAATCAACACCAAACATATGCAACCGAAATGATGCTGCACCTGTCCCAGATAAATGGAAAATTCTACTACCCTTGTCATCACAGAGAAGGAGAGAAAACTAGGAATATATAAAGATTGTCTCGAAGTTGTGGAGTAGTTACCTGATATGAATATGGACAATAAATTATGTCCGAAACGTTATCCAGTAAATGCTACTGTTTCACTGTGTGACATTTCTAATAAACAGACTTAAATGGAATTACACTCGACCACAGTGCTCACGTTTTACACTTATACACCAAAAAGCATTTGAACACCTTTTAACAGCTTGGCATTGATGAAATCACGGTGTGGGTGAGTACGTTAATTTGATTCTTTTAAAAATATGCTCATTGTCTAAATGATTGTGATGAAGAACATGAGAGAAGATTTTTTTTCGATCATTTGCATTAACATACATCACTTATTGAGTAAATGGAAATACTTTAGTACAGGTTATTCGCTATTCAGTTGATAACTTCTGTGCGTGAACATCCGTCAACTAAACACGAAAGTTAAAATATGAATATACCAGGCTGACGGGTTTTCTTACCTCATAGCTATCGCTAAAAAAGTGAATACTAGATTAATAAAATGTTGTAGTATTTTGTTCATCGGCCTTTCCTCGCAAATTTTGTCATCCGTCACTTCGTCCCTATTATTACAAAATTGTTTTTTCCAACACATGAACTTATTATTTGCCCTTGGGTTCCTAACAGAAAATAGGGCTCCAGTAGCACATCTCCATTCCACTCTGTTCTCTGAAATCCTTTCAACCTGGCTCCACGACTACCCACTAGCTCTCATTTCCTCCAAGCACCATCTCCTCCATGTCACCCTCGCCTCGGACGCCCAACTCGCCGTTTCCCATCTGGGTTCCACTCGAGTGACTGACCTGGCGAGTGATGTCCCCGAATGGTCTTCTCAGTGCATGTTCAATCCATCTCCACTTCCTTCTGCATATCTGTTGGGTGATAGGTTCCTGCTTCGTTGGTTCGTTCCCAGAGCTCCTTGTTGCTTATTCTCATTATTCTGGCCATCTCAGCTTCAGTAACGAGCCAGCTTAGGCAGTTGTTGATGAATGTCAGTAGTTTGTTGGAACCATACAGAAGCACTGACTTGACTGATTTGACGTTGGTGTTGAAAATCCGGATCTTGTTCACGCTTTATGCTGAGTGCAGAAGATCTCCACACTGGTTTCAGGTTGATGAACGCCTGTCTTGCTGTTTTTCTGATTCTGACTTTGACATCCTCGTCTATGCCGCCTGCAGTTGAAACAGTGCTGCCTAGATAGGTGAAGGAGGCTACTTCCTTCAAGTTTCTCTCGTTGATGGTGATTGGAGCTTGTTGTTGCTGTTGTTGTTGGTGGGGTATCATCATCACCTCCGTCTTCTCTGCGTTCACTTGAAGTCCCGTCTTCTCTGCCTTGCCTCGCCTCCTCTGTCAACTCGTTAGTTTTTGCCTGTAGATCTTCGAGTTTGTGCGACATTAGGCGTAGGTCATCGGTGAAATCCAAATCTTCTGGGTTCTTTTTCGCGGTCCAGCGTATTATCCTCTTCTCATTCCTCACGGTTTGTTGCATGATCCAGTCGACCACAATCAGGAAGATCATCGGTGATAGTAGGCGGCAGCCTTATCTTACTCCCGTCTTCATTTCAAAAACATCACTGAGCCTCCCATTGTGGATCACTTGGCATGTGGTGTCTTCATATAGTTGTTGAATGAGATTGATAAAGGTTTGTGGTATTTTGTTGTGTTGAAGCAACTGCCGAACTTCTTGGTCGACGCTGTCGAAGGCCTTTTCAAAATTGATGAAGTTGAGGTAGAGAGTTGACTGCCATTCTATACTCTGTTCGATGATGATGCGTAGATTAGGGTTTCAATTCGGTCCACACGTGATTTGTACTTTCTGAAGCCAGACAGCCAGCTTGTTCCGGTCGTAATTTCGAATCCAACACATATTGTTTAGTCTCCCCAGGATGATGCGGCCTAATATTTTGCTTGCTTGGGTTGGACAGGAGTGGAGCATGATTCCGAGCCAGTTCCTGTTCTTGCAAAGAGTTAGGTCACCCTCCTTCGGGAGTTTGACAAGGTAGCCCTTCTTCTAATTAATAGGCAGGTACTTTTCCTTCCTTCCACACCTTCTGCAATAGTGGTGTGTTGTGAGCATGTCCGCTGTTGTCCCTGCATTTTCCGACACTACATAGCTATATTTCAGTTCAACGCAGACTTCATAAACTTTAAAAATACATATAATTAACACATTATCATAAAAAACTGCGTGAAAGTTATCGATACATACTAAAATAAATAACTGAGCAATACTACAACATTATACATCAAACACGTACACAAAGATAAAAATGCTTACTCACACAGACGGTAGACCATCTATAATTTGCAGCTATTGGAAATCAACAACAGAAAATGTATATTTGGGTCTTAATTGAGTAATAAAAAAGAAATGTTAAGTAATATTTATTAACTGTTCATCTAACTATATGTCTCCAGCTGTACTACTTATTCTTATTTAGAAGTCTAAAATGTCAGGTGAGTTTTCTGAAAAAGCAATGGATGAGATTTCTGTATCAATTAGCAATTATCTTGGTCTGATTATTGCTATTATTCATGTTAGCATAAACACCGATTGCTTGTATAACTGAAAATTGCTGCTTTGAAATAAAACAGCACCGGCATTACTTTTTTCATTTATAGATCACCTTTAAAATGTTTAAGAAAGGTTTTGTACTCTATATTTGTGCATGGGAAACTTGAAATATAATCAAGCATTCTGTTAATTATTAGGAAATATTGGTTTTCATTCAGATTATTTATTGAGAAAAAGATATTTTTATCTTTATTTAGCAAACATTACTACTACAGATTGTTCACTTATGCCTACAATGTAAATCAACTGCTGATAAGACCATAGTACTGATAGACCTTTATAATACAAACGATTTCATGGAACATTCAGTGTCATTTAGTGTTGTGAAGAGTCTCAACTTCAATTTTAAAGATTTGAGTTGTATTTAGGCTTTTGGAAATGCATTTTTGAGAATACTATGGGACAGGGTGAAAATCATTAAAACTAACATAACAGGGTGGAGGGAGAGATTAAAACTGAATCTTTGTTTGTCGAAGCAACACCTAATACATGCAACAGAAATAAATCAGCACCAGTACTGGATATATAGTAAGTCCTACTACTTGCTTATGTCACAAAGGAGGCGAGAAAATTAGAACTTAATATGAAGCATGTCTCAAAGTTGTGTATTTATCTTGAAATGACTATAGAAAATAAGTTATGCCCGGAAAGTAATCTAGTAAACAATACTGTTTCACTGTGTAATAAGTCTAATAAACCAGTTAAAATGGTTACCATTTTTGTTGAATTACTTCCTACTCACAAACGTTTCACCTGAATCCACGGTATGCATCCGCTCATCAGTAGATTTAACTAGCCTACCGAAATCAGACTAATTTGTTGGTTAATACTGCATAACGTTGTGGATACTATTCTGCAGAGTTTCACTAAACACTGACTTATCAAAGTGGTGCAGTGAGTAAAGGTATCAAAATATCATATTCTGTTACTATGATGAAACTATATATGAAGCAAACGTTACAATATTAATTGGTTTGAAATTTGTGTTTATTTTAGTAAAACTAAGTTTCGTTTGTTAAAATTCTAATGTTTTAAAGTGAATACAATTTTTAGAAATTATTTTATTGCATATTCGACATGTCTGATGAGCTGAAAATTTTCCCACTTTGTTGAAGACGACTGGTTATTCGTATGAGGATACTTCACGAAGAGGACTCATCAGTCAACGCCGTCTACACACAATAACGCATGATATTCGCTAAATACAACATTGTGGAACTATATCTGCTTCTAAATAAATTGAAATGCATACAAATGCCTAATAATTTAATATAACTTCTTACTCACATTCCTCCAGAGCATTCGTAGCCACTATGGCTTAAAACTTGATTAACTTTATCATAAATGACACTCTTTATCTAAAAACTTGTTGGTTGTAAGATAGTCATATCTTATATTTCGCTAAGTCCCTATTCATGTTACTTTTCCATAGTCATACGAGTATTGTTGTAAGAGACTGAAAAGTCGTTAGGATATACTATGAAAATCAGTGTTTCCTCTTCGGAAAATAATACAAACATTTATGTGGTAAATATTCGAGAAAACACTGAGGTTAAAACTCGAAATCGAAACCCGGGTAAATGTAAATAAATAAAGCAGGCATTAATAAGCTTAATAACTACTGCTTCGGACACAAAATATATTAATACTGTTCTCATTATAAGTCAGATTTTTATAGATACGACAAATTATCAATTTCATTTAGTTCAACAGAAGAACTATCTTCAAAAAGGCTGTAATCCCAAGCTCTCAGTATGCATACTTATTTGATGCCCTTCTCATCATTCCGATAATGATATACTCAGAAAACCCGTGCTCTTTTCAAAAGAAGCAAAATTATGAAACTAACATTCCTCTGGGAAACATTGTAACAAAACGATAATACTACACAATCCACCACTTTGTAAATGTTGCTTCTGAGTTTCACTGGTAGGTTGATGGTAATGTTAAGACTCTGTTTTCGAATGAACAGAAAACCAGCTTCTAACCATTTATTATTTTCATGTGGAGATAGATATTTCCTAAAGGACAATAATATACCAAATTATGATAAATACGATAAAAGGTTTTTCAGCGTAGAAATGGGCGACCGGATCTTTCAAATTATGGCAAGAATTAGAAAGTGAACTAACCGGTTTACTTATTGAAGAATGACGTTCGCCATCAATAATCAGGAGACTCGGTCTTGATTTCAACACGGGACTGAGGCTGGTTTGGGACAGTCTGTCCGGTGAGAATCCAAATGATGATCTGTTATCTAAAAAGGTGCTTTCCGATTAGTTCGTTTTATGATAATTGATTAAATGTGGTAGTTGTAACTGATATTACCTGTAAATGTTGGGCTGGTACAAAATTGTCCCGACATCGTAGTACTACACCCTCGGTGTCTAACTCACAGAGTACTTTCAGATGAAGTCCAACCAATGCACGTGCTACTGAACAGTAAGTACGCATACGGCCTTCACGCCATGTCCAACTCATCATATGACTTCTTGACCTTACAATTAAAGGCTTTTCTGTAGAAAAAAAATTCGAATATTTAGCTTGTTTTATTGTGCAAGCGATATTACACGTAACTTTTTTAAAAGTATCCTTGAGAATTACCTACGAACAACTGATCACTTCCTTGGAAAATTCTACAGACAAATGATATCATTTAGTAAAAGTCAGGTGCTTTTCGTCCTTAATTTCATTTACTGACTATCCATTACATCTAGGATAAGGCAGTCAACCAATCAGCCAGTAACTGTCGACACTGGACCTGCTATTATTGTGTAATAGTGTACTTTGCGGCAGCTAGGATCGGTGCATTAACAAACGAGGAAACAAGATAAAATATATAGAAAAATCAACGTAATCAGAAGACACAGAAAGCCACACTACGTAAAGAAGACTGATCCAATCAAATTATGATAACAGAAAAGTATATACTGCAATACAGCAATTTCAGGTCAAATTGCCTCGAACCTGTTCACAAGAAACAAATGTTACTACCCAAAATATGGATTATCTAGGAGACTTGTGTAAATTAATTGTTGAACTGGCAAATAAGAGATAGTAAAGAGAAGTTTTTAACCTCGCCTGGTTAACTAGTTCACTTGTTACTAGCCGGTTCAAGCCCGCATAAAGAGGGAAGGTTGGGCATAGGGCTGGCAACCCTACCCCGGAAAACAACTCCAACCGCTAAAGAAACTTCAAAGCACAAACAAAATATAAAAAATAATAACAAAATCATTCCTCACTGGAATCGGAGAGGCGAAATGACGCCAGTTGGTGAAAGCCTTCGGGAAGCCAATTGGCCGGGCCGATGTGTCGTCTCTCCTCTCGGAGACATGGAATGTCTGCACGATGTTTGAACCTAGCAAGGCAGCCCAGATTGCAAACGAGATGAGAAGGTATCACATTGAAGTACTTGGAATTTGCGAAAGCAGATGGAATGTGAGTGGACTCTCCAAACTGTCAACTGGAGAATCAATAATCTACTCCAATATGGTCACCCAGACGACAACCACCAGCAAAACACACTGAGTTTTCGAGTGGCTATCATGATGTCCCCTTGAAGAGCATCGAAGACCCTCATGCAGTAGGAACCAATCTCCTCCAGGATCATAACGGCTAGGTTCAACTCAAATGGAAGGAAAGTCACAACCATGCAATGCTACACTACACACCTACAAATAATGCAGATCAAGAGAAAAAGAAGGAGTTCTACAGACAACTGCAATCAACACTGGACAAGACACCACCTCAGTTGGCGAAATCAAAATTCTAATGGGCGACATGAATGCGAAACTGGGAGCAGACAACACAAGAAGAGAACTGACCATGGGTCGAGAAGCACTCGATGAAATGATGTATGAGGATGGAGAACCGTTTGGAGAATTGTGTGCATTCAACGACTTGGTGATTGGAGGCACTGTGTTCAAGTACAAGGATATCCAAAAAGCGACATGGATTTCACCAGACACCAGGACAAACTTAAAATCAGATCGACTCGATCTGAATGTGAAGAGAGTGGAGACGCAGCCTACTTGACATAAGGTCAAGAAGAGGAGCAGATTTAGGCACAGACCACTCACTAACTAGTGCAAGGAACCTTCAAAATCAAGTTGAAAGCATTCAAGGAAGCTGGTGATAGACCACAGTACAAGTTCAACACACAGAATAGAAACTGAATGACGAAACTACAAGGGACATCTTCACAACAGTCAGCAGAACAAAATGGAAGATACCGAGCAACATCCCTGAAGAAACCTGTGTGGATGAACACTGGAACTCTTTGAAAGAGATGTGGAAGGAAACCTGCACAGCCGTATTAGGAAGGAAGGAAGAAGAAAGAAGACAAGGACTGGAATGAATCTCGATGGATACATGGGAGCTGACAGGGCAGGGAGAGGAGGATGGTGAAACAGAAGACAGACCAGTGCAAGGATGCACAACGAGAAGAGGAACCGAGTACAATGTAAAAAACACTGGACAAAGAAGTGAAGAAGAGTTCACGCAAAGACAAAAGACACTTCTACGACACATTGGCAAGTGAAGCAGAACAGGCTGCAGGTAGGAGAGACAGACACCTGACAACACTTCATCAAATAACCAGATTACTATGTGGGAAGAGATCAACACAGATGAAACGAATAAAAGATGATGAAGGAAAGTTAATTACGAAAGAATAGAAACAAAGGAGACGGTGAGCTGACCACTTCAAAAATCTCTTTAATCGACCACCACCTGCACTTCGCCCAGAAATACCACCTGCAGCCACAAAACTATAAGTGAACAGAAATCCTATAACGAACGTCGAAGTCCTGAACGCCATAAAGCTACTGAAATGCAGGAAATCCGTTGGACCAGATGGAATCCCGCCAGAAGCACTGAAAACAGACGCAGAGACAACAGCGGACATGCTCACAACACACCACTATTGCAGAAGGTGTGGAAGGAAGGAAAGGTACCTGCCTATTAATTAGAAGAAGGGCTACCTTGTCAAACTCCCGAAGGAGGGTGACCTAACTCTTTGCAAGAACAGGAACTGGCTCGGAATCATGCTCCACTCCTGTCCAACCCAAGCAAGCAAAATATTAGGCCGCATCATCCTGGGGAGACTAAACAATATGTGTTGGATTCGAAATTACGACCGGAACAAGCTGGCTGTCTGGCTTCAGAAAGTACAAATCACGTGTGGACCGAATTGAAACCCTAATCTACGCATCATCATCGAACAGAGTATAGAATGGCAGTCAACTCTCTACCTCAACTTCATCAATTTTGAAAAGGCCTTCGACAGCGTCGACCAAGAAGTTCGGCAGTTGCTTCAACACAACAAAATACCACAAACCTTTATCAATCTCATTCAACAACTATATGAAGACACCACATGCCAAGTGATCCACAATGGGAGGCTCAGTGATGTTTTTGAAATGAAGACGGGAGTAAGATAAGGCTGCCGCCTACTATCACCGATGATCTTCCTGATTGTGGTCGACTGGATCATGCAACAAACCGTGAGGAATGAGAAGAGGATAATACGCTGGACCGCGAAAAAGAACCCAGAAGATTTGGATTTCACCGATGACCTACGCCTAATGTCGCACAAACTCGAAGATCTACAGGCAAAAACTAACGAGTTGACAGAGGAGGCGAGGCAAGGCAGAGAAGACGGGACTTCAAGTGAACGCAGAGAAGACGGAGGTGATGATGATACCGCACCAACAACAACAGCAACAACAAGCTCCAATCACCATCAACGAGAGAAACTTGAAGGAAGTAGCCTCCTTCACCTATCTAGGCAGCACTGTTTCAACTGCAGGCGGCATAGACGAGGATGTCAAAGTCAGAATCAGAAAAACAGCAAGACAGGCGTTCATCAACCTGAAACCAGTGTGGAGATCTTCTGCACTCAGCATAAAGCGTGAACAAGATCCGGATTTTCAACACCAACGTCAAATCAGTCAAGTCAGTGCTTCTGTATGGTTCCAACAAACTACTGACATTCATCAACAACTGCCTAAGCTGGCTCGTTACTGAAGCTGAGATGGCCAGAATAATGAGAATAAGCAACAAGGAGCTCTGGGAACGAACCAACGAAGCAGGAACCTATCACCCAACAGATATGCAGAAGGAAGTGGAGATGGATTGAACATGCACTGAGAAGACCATTCGGGGACATCACTCGCCAGGTCAGTCACTCGAGTGGAACCCAGATGGGAAACGGCGAGTTGGGCGTCCGAGGCGAGGGTGACATGGAGGAGATGGTGCTTGGAGGAAATGAGAGCTAGTGGGTAGTCGTGGAGCCAGGTTGAAAGGATTTCAGAGAACAGAGTGGAATGGAGATGTGCTACTGGAGCCCTATTTTCCGTTAGGAACCATAGGGACGCATGATAATAATTAAAATAAGGAGAAGTTTGGCATTTGCCATTAAAACATTTCAAACTAACTAGCAATAGAATGACTAATATAATATCTCAAAGATAGATTGCCGTTTGAGCATTTTAGTTGTAACATCGATAAACTGTTTGTGCATTATTCAGCGGATCAATTCATTTTAAATAAATTTGAAATAAATTTTACTCACAGTGAAGTTTTTTTGAGTTTTGTTAATTTCACTCAAAATTTTAAGGAAGCCTAAATCTAATTGTTATGAGTAGATATTCATTTCAAACTTGTCGTTAATAAATTTTAACGACATATCGAAGTTTCATCAGCTGAATGTTTTAGGAAAAAATAGGACTCGAAATAATAAACAGAGGGTAAAGTTATCAGTAGTACTTCTGACAGAGTAAAGAATAACAAAAAATAAGAGTGGTAAAGTTATGACAAAAACAAGCCAATTGGGTGCAGTGATATTTTATGAACAGCTCAATAAATGTATAATGCTATGAATGGGATTTTATCCCAGCAACTTATGCTTCCTGTTAGCGTTGAAGCTGAAAAACAGTAACTAAGCCTTTTTTGTGTTCCGAAGAAACTCTAAAGTAGTACGTCACTATGCGGATTAACACTGAATCACCACCGCTTTCTACACCTCAACAGATATCGAGAAAGAAATGAGAGTTTTAATGACTCCACTAACGAAAAAAGCAAGTCGCAAAGCATGTGCATATATATATATATATATATATATATATATCCGGCTCAACCTTTTACAGAAAGAAGAACATTTACACGTTAAATTTAGCATTATACAACGAATAAAATTTGGTAAAACTGATTACCGACCATGATAAAATAAAACGCATGAAGATAGTGAATATAAATGTATGAGTAGTAAGTTAGTTTTCAATACACCGAAAGTTTTATAAGGCATAAGTAAACATTTTCAAGAGATGTGGAAAATTGGCAAAACGGTATATGTGACCAGGACGATTTTCTCTAGATTTACAATTAAATGACTTTATCATGTAATGCAGCTTGAAGTTAGTGTTTCTTGCAGTTGAACATTTAGATATGTATCTGTTAAAGTGAATACCATTAAGTCAGTTGATAAACAGGTAAGCGCACATTCAGCCATCTTGCCATTTTGAAATGTGTTAGTTATGCTTACAAAGTAAAATTTCCTTCTGGAGCTTCCTTTGTAGTTTACTTGCATGTTAAAACACTGAAATATTTATTCGATCGGTAGTATATCATTACTGTTCTGCAGAACAGTTTATTAGCACCATAATCAATGGAACCACAGAAATAGCTATATTCATTTGGTGTTTCCTTGTTTTTTATCAAAACACTCACCAAAACATAAGGTGAATGCAAAATGCAGACAGGTTTTGTAATGTTTATGAAAATATCTCATCAACAAACGTTACTCTTCATGAGCTTAAGATCTTAAAATATCAGTCTCAAGTTGGCCACAATCACGCGCTGACATCAGATGGAGAAACATTGGAAAGCTGGGAGCAATTGACGGTTGTTTCTTTCTAGTATAGGACTCCTTAATAGTGGGCACCCGTTATCCTACAAGGGATGGAACCCAGGATCTTCAGATTCTGCGGCGACCACGTTACCACTGAGCTATTATGTCGCAATCTAGTGGTTTACATTTCCTACTTCTGTTGGTTCATGACACGGCGCGACCTTCATTCAATACCGTCACTAAGTATCTGTCCTCACGTCCGACTTGATTGACCATATTTGTCACGTCTTCTCATTAGAACTGGTTTTCAATGGTTCTCTGACTGATACCAAACAATGATGAATGCCAACCTGACATCAATACAAAAATCCCCATGACCCTTCAAAGTAAATTTTTAAATATTACCCGTTTCTGAACAAACTTATGAAACTTCCGTCAGATTGTTAGGTTCCTAATTATCCACCAACAAAAGGTTAATATCAAAGCATGTGTGATGAATCAACCTTTATTTAGTTAATCAAATGATACCACATCTCATAACGTGTGTACTTTAGTCATATGACTATTTTACCTCATGGATAAATACTACTGTGACCCATTTTTTCAAAGTACTCCAGTTTAGATAAACAAAAGTAAAAAGGAGATCATGTTGAGTAATTTACCTGATAAACTTTACTACCAAATAAATGATTGTTATTGCTCACGGGAAAAAATTGCTAATCACACCACTTACCCCATGTGGGTAATGCACCTTTTTCAGTTTCATTTGTAGCATTCCACATCTTTGGAATGGGAGACAGTACTATATCTTGTCTTACTTGCCAATTTTCTAATACTTTGTTCAGTAAATAGCGGAGACGATTGGGATTTTTTGCAGCACTAATGACTTGAAAAGATAAAAAGGAAGTTATAGCTTGACATGAATACCATTATCATACAGATACGCAATTACATAATATGGATTGTATGATATGATAGCCAGTATCATTAAATTCAGGAAACAACCAAAGCTGAACAACGTTTACCAAAGTACAGATGCTTGGTTAGGTCGAGATCTATCAACTGAACAGGCGTCAAAGTATACCGTGTCATTTGGCTGAATTATCGTGTTACGCATTTAACGACAAGATGTTGGTCAGCACTTTCAGTTACATCAGTTACTAACTGGCGACTGATTCGTTCAAAGCTCTCTCGTTTTATTAAGTGGAATATTCAAGTGCTAAATAGTTGTTCGTAAAGTGACAACGATTAGTCCGCAAATCACTTGAATGTTATTTTTTGGATGGAAATCAATTAGGGGGTTTTCTGAATCTACGTAGTTTGTGTTAGATGCCATCGACAGGGAAATGAACCTTAACCAAACTAAGTGTAAAGTACCTATACGTTTAAAAAAACACAAACTTTCGAGATAACTTGTAAATGAGGCTGTTTTTCCCTGCCACGATTTAGGCTTAACTGTTTAATAATCCGATAAGTTTTCAAAATATTCCAATGGAAGGATTATCCAAGACGTATCAACTTTGAAATCGTGTAGATTATTTGTAATTCAGGTGGGTGATCTTGGTAGTGTTATGGTCCTGCCGATCAAGGTGGCTTAAGTGTAAAGTTTTCATTTTCTTTCTTGACAGCATTTTCAGCACTAAGTTCAATATTAAGTGAGCTATCTCCGTGAATAAATCAATAGGTCACACTGACGAAATGGTTTTGATTGGTTGTTTCCTTTGATTATTTTCCATTGACTGTTCATCACGAGACCCGAAAATTAGGAACTCGACACCTAACGAGGTTATGAGTGTGCACTGCTAATAATTCTCAAATCAGATGATGTAGGTTTTCATTTCAACCGTGCTATTTAGTGATTCTTAGCAGAAATCATCTTTGAAATCAATCAATTTTCCATTCTAATTGAAATTCAGTTATGATGGTTCTGACTGCCTTTCGAAAACACTAAACAATAGCCCCAATAATGAAGCACTGGCGTTTCTAGTTTCAGAATAACTTGGTGTGAAATGAAAGCTTAAGCAGAGTTAATGTTACCCAAGAGTTCAGACTTAGCTGGATGTTAAATGCGACTAAGATCACCAGCCATGCGATAGAGCGGTGGAGGAGTATCTAAGGAAATCCTTTCCATTAGGTTGAGACATTTGCGTAGAAATCCTTGGCTTTAGGTTTCTCCAACACTATAAACAGCTGAAATCTACCGGTAAACAGAAATAAGGAAAATAACTGGAAACGAAAATGGGTATTATATTCAAAGATCTATTCTTGACGTAAAACCGTTGATCCCAAACACTAGGCGATGAAAATAACGGGAAAAAAGAGTGATACTTTGTGCACATGAATGCTTTGAGAATTTGCGATAAATTTTACGACTCATTTTCGCTTGCCAAGGGTACATACTATGTGATCTTCAAGATTCTAAACAATTTTACCAACCTACATTGGTTGATATCTCCTGTCATCTCTTTTGTTCACTTCAAAATCATTATTGTCCTATCCATTTCCTTTATGTGTGTTGAGGAATGTGGCAACACTTCAACTGATGCACTTGTGCTCATTGTCCCATCTTGAGATGGTTTTCAATTTTGAAGTTACCTAATTTACACTATTTCTGGGTTTTGTTTTTTTAAAAATGATGAAGCAGTTTCATAGTAGTGAATTTGGATACTTTTTTTACCGGTTACCGCTTGATATCCAATAAATTGGTTCTGTTGGCTAACTGAACAGCGTGTTGATGTGAAAAATCAGTTATTGTTACCCTATCAAAGTACATTCAAATACCCATTTATCAAATGACACCATTTTATTCCGCAAGTTTTGTCCTTCTTGCTTTTTTCAAATTTACAAAGGGATCTAAACACATAACATTTCTTTTGGAATTGTGCTGATATTTTAGCACAGCCGAAAAAGCCCAATAATTGTTACCTTATAGTACCCTGACTTATCATGAATAACGGTAACCCGCTTTAATCAAGAGAAATAGTACGAAAATGTTTACATATTTCAAAATACTCTAGTGATTGTAGACTTTCATGTCCATTTGTGCTTCTCACAACATAATTCAGAAGGCCTGGTCATAATTTATATGAATCCCATTCTATGAAGTGCACACATACTACATTGGATGATTGCTAGCATTCGGTCACCACTTGACAAAATGAAATTGCTGCAAAGTAAGAACAAAAAGTACTGTGTGATGAATCGAATTGCTATTTCCTGTGCTCTAAACCTTCCACACACACTAGCTTAAAAGTTGTGTACAATAAGCTGTCAGTGTCCTGTGTAAGTCATTTGATACATTTCAGTAAAAAAAACCAACACCAAATACATCTTTTATATCTAGACATCAATACATATGTGACATTAATTCATGCGCTCTCTCTATTGTTCTCTTCCCCCCCCCCCACATACACGTTTTATCACAATTCCTACCTCCTTGAACTGTAATCATATGTCTGGACTACTTTTACGTTGTATTATCTTCTTTGCTTTCATTGCTTGATTTAATAGTCTGAGTTATTTTACTTTTTCGCTGTATTAGCTGACTAGTATATGAACTTTGTCATTCATCTCTTTTCCCTCCAATGTGTAATAATGTCTAGATGGGAAAGATGTACTTGGTGCTGATTTTACTGTTAAACGGTATCAAATGGTTTATGCTAGGCACCGATAGCTTACTGTACACACTTGTTAGTTTAGTGTGTAAATGGAAGGTTTAGAAGTGGGAATTCGATGCATTGCACAATACTTCTTGTTCTTATTTTGCAGAAACTTATAAAGGGAATCAATTGTATGGAAATGAAACTGGTTACTATCCGTAAAATATAAATCTCAATAAAAATACTTATTGAAGTGAAACTTACTCAATGTAAGAAATAGGTTGCATGCACTATTACGAACATTTTCTGATGAATGGCCCAAATAAAAGTCGACTACACAATTTTGTAATTCTCCAGTATTCGCAGGCAGATTACTTTCACCAACTTTCTGAATTATACATATACATACATATATAAACATATTTCAGTCAAACGAATGTCTCATCCGAAGAAAACAGATAATACACTAAAACTGTATTCAAAATCTTGTAAAACTTGCAAAACGATATTTACCTGCATTTGTGCAGTAAATACACTAATTGCTGCCAGTATAGCAATATGATTGACCACATTTTATTACTGAACTCTTCACTGGTGATTTAAAGATTTTCAGTATCCTTCATTAAATACCTCGATTACAATAACCACAGAATATTCAGCAGACCAGTTGAAAACTACTTAGAATGGTTGATTTTTGGTTGCAGTTTGTCATGAATAAGCACATATTTAAAGAAACTGAGATCCAAATCTATGCTAGCGGAATTATTCTATAGTTTAGACAGATTACTATTTCATGCTTATCTTGGAATAAAGCGTTTATTCATCAAAACCGTCAACAATGGGCACGACAACTGTACAGACGATTGTGTATACAGTTAAAGGGAAATGAGACGCTCAATTCAGAATGTCTCATATCTTTGATGGCGATGGGTCAGATGAAATCGTAAGTGTTGAGTCTGTAGTATGAATTGGGATTTAAAACACCAGAAATTCCAAATTATCTGTTGAGTTATGCATGTTTAAGTCTCTTTTATACGAAGTAGGAGACGGGAAAAAACAAAATCTGCAATGAGTTTGACATTTTCGCCCTAAATTTGTGCTTCTTTTGGTGTGTGTGTGTGCATGTGCTTGTGTGTATTTTTCGCATTCTGGTGCTATGTATGAGATTTAAATATTGAAAACACTTTACCGCATTTGAAAGATTTTATTTATGCACATCTATGTCTTCGAAGCATTTTCAGCTCAGTTATTACGAAGCATATATTGAAAGTATCTGAAATAAATACTCTTAACTTAAATACTTGCAATAACCGGCAATAAAACGTTTTGAGAAATTCGGCAAAAAAAGTCTCAAGAACATGAATAATGATCCAATTTAAAGGTTTCAGGAGATTTATTTATTGACTTCAGGTTGATACTCGTGAACTAACAGAAGTAGGGAATGTAAACCATAGGCTTCCAATTCAGTGGTCTAATAACTCTACTTACTGGCCACGGAACCTGGAGGTCCCTGTGCGGTTGGGGGTGTGTACTAATGAGGAGTCCTATACTAGAAGGAGAAAGCCGTCTGATGGTTATAATTTTCCAAATTATGTCAGTTCTTGATGAGTACCAACTTGAAATCAATAAACAGTGGTTGTAAATCATTTGAACTAACCTTGATCATAATTCGACATAGGTCAAGAAGACTTTCATATAATCCGGGAGTGTTTTTCCAGTCTTGAGGTTTTGAAGGCTACAAGCAGTCACAAAAATGATCTCAAAATATTAGAAGTCTCAAATTAAAGAATTAAAGTAAAGTGAAATAATACATGGAATGGTACATTGAAGCGAAAATCAGATCAGTGGTACAACCCCACTCTATTCAACTACCTGTCTTCAAATGAGCTTACTGTTTAGTAAACAAGAAGATTGCTGATATGTTTTTCACTTGTATGTGACGTTCAGTCTTGCTTTAACAAGCCTCATATCTCAGTTCACTAATCATCACTTGGTTTATAAAAGAGACTTGAAAAGAAGGCATTATATAAAGATTATATTTGCATAAATCTCATCATGTTCGGAATAAAATAGTCAGAGTGCCTTGCACGAAAGTTTACTCCAAGCTTCTTCACGGAAACAATCAAAAGTAAAACATAAAATATACTTAAATGAGGTCAAAAACAGGTGCCTAACCAAATTGTCCAGTCGTGTTCGTGTGATGTCTTTTCAGAATACGATTGGTAATCAAATGGTAGATAAGAATCCCATCAAACAGTTGGACAGCCTAATTCAAACAAAACTAACCCGTTTATTCAAAGCTGGTGAAATCACGAAAGAAGAACGATAGCAAATGAAGACGAATGGCCTAGTTCTACCTAGGTTCTCCGAGTGCCCCTAGGTGCTCAATACAGATCCTCCATTGCAATCAACAGTGACCACTACGGCAAACATTACCATTTAATTTATACATAAAATTACACAATAAACTAAAACATCTTGTTCACAGAAATCAACACTCGGTTAATTCAGCAACTCAGTTCCTAGAGAGACTAAAACACCTCAAGACAGACAATAAAGAAAAAATGGTGTCCATTAAAGTAGCTGCACTTTCTATGCCAACCAACCCGGATGTCCCCAAAGAAACAATGATTAGCCTTCAGAACGACGACTAGAATATTCGAAAGTATAGGAAAATTATCGCTACAAACTTGGTAGAACCAACCAGTTTTTCACGATATAATTTTAGTTCAACACGGAGATCTGAAGACAAATAATGGAACTGTCATGGGCTAACTAACCAGACTGATAGATGAAGCAGGGATGAAGAGGTGAGAATCAACAGTCATTTCAATAATTACACCAAACATCTGGATCTGATACGCTGAGAACACTTTTGTCATTATCAAAGAAGATGAATTGGAAAACACATTCAGTCTCACCAACCAAACCTTAAATTCACAAAAAAAAAGAAGGAAAATAACGAAATCACGTCCCTATATATAATTATCAGAGGAACACGACGTAACCTTAGAGACTCACACGGACCAAGATTCATTACAGGACTCAGCAACTGCAGAAGTCGGAATAAAGTCACCCTTACAAAGTGTTCAGAGCCAATGGCAGTCCACTCAGATGCATCAACAGAACAAGCATCAGGAAAATTACCTCAATCTACAAAATGGATCACTTTGCCACGTATCAAAGATGTTTGGGAAACTATCAACCGATTACTTTATCCATTCGATATCAGCGTGGGACACAAACCAGCCAAATCCCTGCAGAAAATCTCATACAATCTAAAAGATCCATTATCCAAAGAAGACAAGACGAATGCAGCCTAAGAAATCAGTTGCAAGGACATATAGCATCGTTGTATTGGCGACGAATAACCCAAATAATTTATGAGTATCAATTAGCAGTCAAACTGTATTATAAATCTTCACTGATATCAATTCATCTAGTTAAGCGAAACCTCACTTTCGATATGGACAGCGTGGAATACTACAAAAAGCAAGCTTTAAAACTGCAAGAAGGCTCCTGGATGTATGGTATTCCAGTCAGTTGGTAATCACTGGACATGTGGACATTGAGCCTATATACGAACTATTGAGAGGGGATCACTCAACTGAAAATCAGTCAAATAAAACTATAACCAGACATTAGGTCAACAGCATACGTTAGACGATAACAACAAATAAAAAGGTCAACCTCTGATTAGAAAAAAGGACAGGTTACCCCTATCCACAAACCAATAACTCTCAAATCGACAGATATTCTTTATAAATATTCATACAACTTAAAAGTGCTTCATTTTATACAAAGTAAAGGCTGATGAAACGTCCAAGAGTAGGTCTCAAAGCTAGGAGAACATCAAATAATTGCCATCCTCATACTGAGCTACAAATCTTCTCTACACTGGGATTTATTAAACATGATGTATATTATGTGATATATATGCACGTAGATCAGACGCAAGTAAAATGTGTATTTGATTTCAAGAAACAGCGAAATTTATATGACTCAACCACTGAACTGAAATGTAATCAAGGTATATCGTGCAGGATACTGGAGATACAAAATACAGAAAATAGGCGGACGCTGAGAAGCAATTCCAGTTACTGGGAACGTGAACTGGACACTGGAATACTAGAAATACTATAAAAATACCTATTTTAAATGTTTGAAGAAATTAGTACCTGTCGTCGAACATGCATTCGCAGGACACAAAGGTCCTGTTACTGTAATAAGTCTACTTAGTTTTTGCATGTTAAGAAAGGCACAACAGATATATTGTGTTATAATAAGCAAACAAAACGTACCAGGTTTTCTTGATTAAATTGACTTGGTGTATCGGTATTCATACACAGCTGTTTTACAACTTCACGGAGAGTCTCATCAAATACCTATGAAATTACGAGAAATTATTAATGTGGATAGCAAAAGTTATAAATATGATGTAGCGATCATATTTAGCTCGGTTCTCAGTTGTGTCGGATTCTATTATGAGTGAACACGTTTTTCGTGCTACAGGAAAAATCATTATTAATATTATTCAGCTTTTAGCATGCTTTACCAGTTCAGCTAGTCTCATTTTATTTACAGCAAGAAATCTGAAGAGTGAAAAACGGTGAGGATAATATTAAAATCATTAAGAGAAGTCTGAAAAAGAATGAAGTATGCTGAAGAATCATAACAGCTTATTCTTCTTATCAGTGTCTACAGTAACCAACCCATTTAATACTACAGTCACGGTGTTTATGACTGACAGCAAATAGCGTACTGTCTTACTTAATGTTGTTATCAACGTATTAAGAAACTTTGATGTGTAAATCCTTCATTTCTTGTTTTTACAACCTTGACCAAATTTGTCATTGGAAAAAGTTGTGTGAACTGTCAGAGAAATCAGTAAGTTGAAAAACAACTTCAAACGCTTTAAGCTGAGCGAGAACAAAACAACTATGGCAGAATAGCATGAATCCATTCTATCTCACTGCTTCTCATCAGCTGCATGCAACCTTAAACAATTTTAACATCAATTCATATGAGTGCTTGCACACTCAAATCAGTTTTATAGAAAATTGTCGGCTTGAATTAAAGATAACATCGATGTGAAGTAATTGAGAACACAAAATGAGTTAATAACTATGCAGAACTAATATTCGGAACTAAGTTTGTCAATAAACAGAAGGATTATATCCTAGAACGGAAGTTGGATAAGAGCGGGAGACGTATTCAAGACGTTAAGAAAGGTTACACGAAATGATTGAATGCATTTGTCTCCCGCTCTTATCCAACTTCCGTTCTAGGATATAATCCTTCTGTTTATTGACAAACTTAGTTCCGAATATTAGTTCTGCATAGTTATTAACTCATTTTGTGTTCTCAATTACTTCACATCGATGTTATCTTTAATTCAAGCCGACAATTTTCTATAAAACTGATTTGAGTGTGCAAGCACTCATATGAATTGATGTTAAAATTGTTTAAGGTTGCATGCGGCTGATGAGAAGCAGTGAGATAGAATGGATCCATACTATTCTGCCATAGCTGTGTTTTCACTCTATTTAGATTTACGAAAAGAAAGAATTTGTACTAACACTTTATTCTTTGTCCTGCTGCACTATATGTGCAGAGGTGCACCCAAATTCCAGAAGTGATGACTCGGAATCAATTCATGTTGAACAATAATGTTATTGAAGAAACAATCCTGCTTAAATCATGGATTACTAGAACATTTTTCCACCGAATATATTTCATCGAATTCTCCCTTTTCCGTTCATTTTAGTTTTTTAGATATATCTTCTGAAGGTATCATGAACTCTTGCACTGTTTTAAAATATTTTCAGACTCTCGTTTCTCAAGTTAAAAATGAAACAAAGGCAAAAAGTAACGCTGAATATATATATATATATATATATATATATATATATAATACAGTTTTTATGCTGGCTGATTGAACTACTACCATAATGATTTTGTATCCACAAGTTCGGACTACACACTGACCTAATGCCTGCTGCTCATTTCAAATTAATGCCTTTAATTTCGTTATCATTGGCACTATTCAGATGCAAAAATTGTTTCTTTAAAAATGCTGTTCGGGGAGAGTATTTTTGAAACAATACCCGCTGAAAATTCTATAATGTATAATGTACGCTGTATGGAATAAGGCGATTATTATCAATGTTGTTAAATGTTGACGAAAGGCCATGAAACAAAATGAGCTCATTTTATTCCACAGATGTCTTTGTTCTTACATTGCTCAAATTTTTAAAAGGAACTTAATGTGTGATAAGTGATTTTAATTGGTATTTTGAAATTTAAGAATAAAGTAACAACATGCAACCTAATTACATTCATCCCAGAAAAACACCATCAAATGATCGAGTGAATTTCAATTATGATTCTACCACCTCATTTTGACCGGTGAAATTTCAAGCTAATGTTACCCGCACTCATGATATGTGTTGAAGTTGTAGTTCAACAATTCATTATTGTCAAACTGCTAATGTCTTCTTGTCAATGTTCCTTCCTGCTGGTGTGAACTCAAATACAGTGTAATAGATAATTGACTTTTTTGTGACTAGCAGTGGAATTCATGACGTGCGTTTCCTCCTATGTGAGATTTTTTAGCTAGTGCACAGTGAAGAAAACGTAACTGGAGAACTGGGATGTTGCAGAATCTTTAGAAATTCGCGTAGAAATATATCTAAATTGATGATAAGGATGTTTTAATGATAACATCTTAGATATGTGGTCATCAACTACTGCTACTTCAGAAACACAAATCAAAAAGCTTGTATTTCTCCTAAATGTAGACAAAGCAAACGCAGGTTATAGTAATACTGTGTAACGGTCCGAGCGGTCACACTTCACATTATGACAAAATATGGTATGGCTTCATAACTTTACTTAAAAACACTTCCTAGCGGACACTGTAATTGATTGGCTTGTAAAGTATTTTTAAGTTTCAATATTGTTATCAGAAGTTCACTGATTCACTAAACTTCCAGTCGCTAAGGTTTAAGAGACTTTGTGTTTAAAAAATTCAAAACATCGCATTTTTGTATGTAGACAACAGTGTGGGAATTATAAAAATCTGTAGATAAAATTCAAAAAATTCCAACTCACATCGCGCGAACACCGCTTGAGGCACGTCAAGTACGCTCGGACTGCAGCTTTACGAACATGCAGATAATTACTGCAGAAAAGTTTGAGGGCTATCGCACTTAATCGTGGGAACAACTGACCATGAAGAAAGTCCTGGATTTATCATAAACAAAAGTGAAAATAACTTGAATCAATCACAGAATACTGCTTCATTTATATAACACTTGAAAATCTTACTAGGTATCTTGATACTTAAAACTTTTCAACCAATTTACTTACCGTAGAAAATCTGCAGATATTGTTTTTCAACAAAGTTTCATTCTCAGAAGACGGTGTACCTGTATAGGACTCCAGTTCACTGGGTAATAGTCGCTTCAACAAAAGATTGAGCACTGTAAACAAATGGCTTATTTCTATATCAAAAGTACCATAAAAGTATTTATTTAAGAAAAAATCTGACAATGATATATTCAATGTAGTCTAAAATAACAGTAAACAATTATTCGTGCATAATTTTGTACCAGTAAAGCCTTTTACAGCACTAAAACTGATATTCGTGAATTCTGTTAAACTTTTGAGAAAACAACTAAATCCGATCATCATAGCGAAAGTATGCGTCACAATAAATTCTGAGAATTAAGATAACTGAATGAATTCTTTTCTGAAAATAAGTTGAGTCTGAAAAAAACAGCTAAATGAAGTAATCTAATAGTCATTTAAGTAACTGAATCATGGCCACTGGTTTAAATCTTAACATGCTGACTGCAAACCTGGCTGTCATGATTTCGATTTTCATGAGGATTTGGCTTACCATCGTTTTAGTCAGGAATCAGTCTACCACTTCCAAGTCAGTAGGGCATAAAACAACCAGTCTTCCTTAAAATCGTTTCGATACTAATAAAGAAATCTTTTTTGAAAATTCAAATAACTTTCTATTACAATCGTGAGTGAATATTATTAAAAAATGCTTCATAAAGCATTTTTACAGAGGAATAGTAAAACAGTGACGAAGTATGAAAAAGCCAAATTTGTCAAGATGGAAGTAAATCAAGTCATTTAATTGGATCAAGCGATGTGGCCAGGGCAGTTGATGAATGTAATTTAAAAGGATACGAAATCAGAAGTGTAAGGTTGGAAGACTGTAATATGTGAGAAAGGAAACATTTGCAAGTGAAATGGTCTTACGGCTCACATTCATCGCCAATCAAATGAATGAACAAACTCCTTTTAATTGAAGAGATCAGACTTAGAAATGAGAAATCGAATAGCTTCGGAATCGAAAGATGGAAAGTAAATGAATATAGAACTTGTACTGGGTGACGATTGAAGATGAGATGAAAATCTGGAACTATTTCCATAAAATTCACAGTTGTTCAGCAGGTGATGGTATGAGATTTTCAAAATGTGAGGTGAGTTAGAAGTGAAAATCATTTATGAATTTCTCCCTACAGATGCTTGGAAGACAGTAAACAAAACTAAACACAGAATTTGATATACTGACAGGAACAAATATGCAGGGGGTGGAACAAGCTTATATCATGATGTAGAGAACTGGGAGACGTTCCCACAGAGTACAATGGAAACCACAGCGATTGACTTTGAACCAATCTGTCGATCATGTCATAGTGGTGTTAGGCCAACCAACGAAACAGAAATATTAACCTTGAGATATTGTGACTAACTGGATTATTTGATTATCTTCAAAAGACAATTAGGACACTAATCGTATCACTTCCATACCGTTTGCGGTATCCGAATACAATCTTGTTACATGCAATGAGTTAATAAGCTTAATTCTGTTCAATACGTACGCGGCCACGTGTTTCATTTTTTTTTGAATTAATGTACTTTGTGAGCGAACAACTTATATATATATATATATATATATAAGTATATATATATATATATATACATATATATATATATAAATATATATATATATATATATATATATATGTAAAATGGCATGGTGCAAAGGAAACTCCCAAATTAGGTTGAAATACGTCAAGGAAATTGTTGATAGACCACAGTACAAGTTCAACACACAAAATAGAAACTGAATGACGAAACTACAAGGGACATCTTCACAACAGTCAGCAGAACAAAATGGAAGATACCGAGCAACATCCCTGAAGAAACCTGTGTGGATGAACACTGGAACTCTTTGAAAGAGATGTGGAAGGAAACCTGCACAGCCGTATTAGGAAGGAAGGAAGAAGAAAGAAGACAAGGACTGGAATGGATCTCGATGGATACATGGGAGCTGACAGGGCAGGGAGAGGAGGATGGTGAAACAGAAGACAGACCAGTGCAAGGATGCACAACGAGAAGAGGAACCGAGTACAATGTAAAAAACACTGGACAAAGAAGTGAAGAAGAGTGCACGCAAAGACAAAACACACTTCTACGACACATTGGCAAGTGAAGCAGAACAGGCTGCAGGTAGGAGAGACAGACACCTGACAACACTTCATCAAATAACCAGATTACTATGTGGGAAGAGATCAACACAGATGAAACGAATAAAAGATGATGAAGGAAAGTTAATTACGAAAGAATAGAAACAAAGGAGACGGTGAGCTGACCACTTCAAAAATCTCTTTAATCGACCACCACCTGCACTTCGCCCAGAAATACCACCTGCAGCCACAAAACTATAAGTGAACAGAAATCCTATAACGAACGTCGAAGTCCTGAACGCCATAAAGCTACTGAAATGCAGGAAATCCGTTGGACCAGATGGAATCCCGCCAGAAGCACTGAAAACAGACGCAGAGACAACAGCGGACATGCTCACAACACACCACTATTGCAGAAGGTGTGGAAGGAAGGAAAGGTACCTGCCTATTAATTAGAAGAAGGGCTACCTTGTCAAACTCCCGAAGGAGGGTGACCTAACTCTTTGCAAGAACAGGAACTGGCTCGGAATCATGCTCCACTCCTGTCCAACCCAAGCAAGCAAAATATTAGGCCGCATCATCCTGGGGAGACTAAACAATATGTGTTGGATTCGAAATTACGACCGGAACAAGCTGGCTGTCTGGCTTCAGAAAGTACAAATCACGTGTGGACCGAATTGAAACCCTAATCTACGCATCATCATCGAACAGAGTATAGAATGGCAGTCAACTCTCTACCTCAACTTCATCAATTTTGAAAAGGCCTTCGACAGCGTCGACCAAGAAGTTCGGCAGTTGCTTCAACACAACAAAATACCACAAACCTTTATCAATCTCATTCAACAACTATATGAAGACACCACATGCCAAGTGATCCACAATGGGAGGCTCAGTGATGTTTTTGAAATGAAGACGGGAGTAAGATAAGGCTGCCGCCTACTATCACCGATGATCTTCCTGATTGTGGTCGACTGGATCATGCAACAAACCGTGAGGAATGAGAAGAGGATAATACGCTGGACCGCGAAAAAGAACCCAGAAGATTTGGATTTCACCGATGACCTACGCCTAATGTCGCACAAACTCGAAGATCTACAGGCAAAAACTAACGAGTTGACAGAGGAGGCGAGGCAAGGCAGAGAAGACGGGACTTCAAGTGAACGCAGAGAAGACGGAGGTGATGATGATACCCCACCAACAACAACAGCAACAACAAGCTCCAATCACCATCAACGAGAGAAACTTGAAGGAAGTAGCCTCCTTCACCTATCTAGGCAGCACTGTTTCAACTGCAGGCGGCATAGACGAGGATGTCAAAGTCAGAATCAGAAAAACAGCAAGACAGGCGTTCATCAACCTGAAACCAGTGTGGAGATCTTCTGCACTCAGCATAAAGCGTGAACAAGATCCGGATTTTCAACACCAACGTCAAATCAGTCAAGTCAGTGCTTCTGTATGGTTCCAACAAACTACTGACATTCATCAACAACTGCCTAAGCTGGCTCGTTACTGAAGCTGAGATGGCCAGAATAATGAGAATAAGCAACAAGGAGCTCTGGGAACGAACCAACGAAGCAGGAACCTATCACCCAACAGATATGCAGAAGGAAGTGGAGATGGATTGAACATGCACTGAGAAGACCATTCGGGGACATCACTCGCCAGGTCAGTCACTCGAGTGGAACCCAGATGGGAAACGGCGAGTTGGGCGTCCGAGGCGAGGGTGACATGGAGGAGATGGTGCTTGGAGGAAATGAGAGCTAGTGGGTAGTCGTGGAGCCAGGTTGAAAGGATTTCAGAGAACAGAGTGGAATGGAGACGTGCTACTGGAGCCTTATATTTCACTACGAAAGCAAGGGGAAAATTGTATATATATATATATATATACTCCTGGATTGGGTTACAAACGAAAAGTATAGGGAACGCCAGTATTTCTCTATACTTAGTGGCGTTTGTGTTGAAAATCCTATATGACTTCACTGTGTGAGTTGGATATCCAGTAATTTGTGACTGTATTTTGAAATAATCACATGCTGAGTTAGAGATATCGGTAAATTAGAAAATCACATGATGAATGCATACTAGAAATATTATACCAGGTATCCTGAGCTTTTCACTGTAAAAACTATGTAACCACGACCAGCCAATCGTTCTACTGCTTTGGTCACTAAAAAGCAATTCCTGAGACATTTACAGTTCAGTGGAGATTCATCAATAGAGATGCTAAGAAATTGTTTATCCCGCTTATTAGGAAAAATGTAATCATAATTTTCACCGCTCACCCAATGCTTTTATTATGAGTGAAAGCTGAGCTATCTTTTTCGGTCAACTCGATATGTGTTTATCGGTTGACCTGCTCCATTGGAGTAAGATATGCTGTTCTGATAAAGTAATGCTTTCTGAACGTATTTTTAAGCGTATACTAGCCTATTTGTACAAAGAACGAAATAGAGCATCTGTGGCTGAATCTTAAAACCCTCGAGTGACTCAAAGTATCTAGTGACTACGGAAAACCACTTCAGAGTCATTTGTTGAGCTCGTGCAAGCACTGAACAAGGGTACGCCTAAAACTTTCTCAAACTGTGGATACCATGCCAGTCTGTATTTCCACCCCTGTTCTCTTCATTCAAAAGGTTATCCAGTCACATTTAAATGTTGCTGACCTGTTACATCTTCTCAAGTTTCACATTCTTTCAATCTTACAGTTCTGGTTTTACATTGTTTTAAATAACGTTCATCAACTGATTTGACCAAAAAACATCACTTATCAGGTATGATGAGAATAACACTGCATATTCCTCAGTAAGACATCACAACGATGTTTTCAAAGAATGTACTCAAATTTTCATCAACTTTTAAATCAGTTTATAAGCATTGAGTTTGAGTAAAACTGTGGGTTGCATGCAGCAAATTATCTTTTTGATGCCTTCTGACAAACTGTTTTCACTTTTGTACCTACTTCAGATTTATTGCCATGGTTTAAAAACCATACTATGTTGTAGTAAAACAAATATTTGATGGTACTTTCTGAAAGGAAAAGTTGTTTACTATCACCAACACTTATGAGTGTACGAAACATATAGAATATACCAGGTTAACATTTTTCACATAAAGTTGACAAATTTCATTAAGACCAGGTGATGAAATAAGTCTTTGAAGCTAGAGTAGGCAGAACTTTAGAGTTTTCCAGATGAAGAATATCTATGCAGTCACCGTACACTTATACATGTTCTTTAATATCTACAGAGATTTATTAAGAAAGCAGCATCTGTTTCGTTCACACAAACAAACTATAAAAGTTTGATGAAAATTTACCACTAATCTTTCAGGATGTTAATCCCTGTCCGAACGGCCCAGTGGTAACATCTTTGATTGCAGTACTGGATAACGCAGGTTCAATTCTCACAGAGGACATTATTTTCGTCGAGATCGCAGATATACCTTGCTAATGAATGCCAAGCCCGAAACCATGGCCACGCACTACATGTCAATTACCTCCAATCAAATAACACGTACTGAGTTTTATGAAACATCTATCAATACACCAGTTGTACCACTTTTAACAACGACATTTACAATGTTACGGAAGCTCATTAATGTGGCCTATGGAAAAAAGCTGGACTTGATGTGGAGTACACAAATTTATAGTGGTAAGAGGAATCGAAAAACTGTCAGCAATCACTGTTTTGTGCTCCTTTAAAGAGTGCAATCGAAATACTTTTAATTCACAGGACTAGCCACACCAACTATGAGAAGGCGTAAATTTTTGTCGTAGAGTTCTTAAAAGAATCCTGAACAAATTCAAAACAACATGAAGTTAAATAGTAATCATTAGAATTACAGATATTCTCATGACAACTTTCCTCTCTTAAAACTACTGGTCCGCTGGTCAAATTCTTACTGAATTTAGCGGTTATTTTACAGAATTTCAGCAATCTATTTCAGACTCTGTGAGAAACAGTCATGAAGAATCCGTATAGACCAATGACATCCAATATTTGATGCAAAGACAATGACAGTATAACAGTAAAACTTTGGAACTGTGGTAGAATATAATTCCATTTTAGTTGATCTATTAGGTGCATCACACAATGGAACAGTATTAACTACTGGATTACGTTTTGGACATAATGGACACAATGTCGATCTACTGAGTACCTCGATGTACGACGCTAGAGGAAGTTGAATAAGAGTAGAAGTGGGTTCAGAGTGATCAGATCAAAACGTGATACCAGCTCTACTAACTGATCTACGGGGTCCAACGTGATACCAATCCATGAAATTCCTGACTTTTGGCTGAGTCGTGTGGGGAGGTGTAGGTTCTCTGACTGGGGTTCTCGAGACGAAAGGAATCAATGGTTTAGGACTCTTGGTGACACACGGTTGAAGGTTGGTCACAATGGCGCAGATGTATTCATTCCTTGATATCTTCTACAGCTTGAATATTAGAGTTAACCTTTATCTTCAAATTGTTTATTCTCTTATACTACTTTATCTACCTCGATATCAGTCTTTTTCTATCCACCTATTGTTTGTATACTCCTGTAAAGTGTGGCAACTAGAGCCGATGAACTTATGCGTGAGGTTCTACGGTGATTTTGTCTGTCTGTTTGTCTGACAGTCAATTGTGTCCAAAACGTAATCTAGGTAATAATACTGTTCCTCTCACTGTGTAATACATCTAATAAATCAACTAAAATGGAACTGCAATCCCAGTAGGCAATTAGTTTATTGTTCAAGATATGTTAAAAGTAGTCCTGTACAACCAAAAATATTAGGTTTTCAACTAGTTATCACAGTTTATTTACATTAACATTCCGAATACTCCTATGAAATGTTCATGTATAACATACAGATATCGAATCATTAATGAATGTTTCAACCAACTGGCATAATCCTTCACTGGGAAATTTCAGGCAAAACTTCATCACCCGTAATAGTATAATGTTTCTGATTAGGGATTATACTAAGAAATAAGTACCAAAGTATTTTCTTAAGGTAAATTTTACTTATAGCAGCTAAACTGTTTACAAACTTCTGAGTGCATCACAGATCAAGATAAACAATTTGTTTAAATTATAAGGCTTTAGAATGTTAAAGAATATTCTTACTGTCTACAACGCCTTCAGTTGCCTCACTAGCACACACCTCTGGTTTTTCTAGTACCTGAAAATAGAAACGTACGGGAAGGCGATTAAACAGAAATTATTATCGAAGAACCTACGCGCTTATTATCAACTCTTAAGTTTCATAATATAAATGATTTTTATGTTCGAAAAACTGATTTATATTTATACCAAAACAACCGCTAAATACACATAAATATAGTTTTCATTATGCAGCTAATTTAAGGATAAACATCAGTTACTCAGACCTTAGTAGGTTCCGACTGAGTACCGGAGTTTTTTCAGATGCATGCCAAATATGTGCTGTTATAAATAATATGCTTCATCTTCCTTAAAGTTGCCAACATTTCGAAACCCCACGCAGAGATAGTGTCTACGTCAAAGACAGTTAACATGAAACTGATAGCCTACTGATTAAAGTGACTTCATAATTCATTTGTGCATGCAAAAATAGAAACGTCAAAAGAGAAATCTGATTAGGTTCTAATTAAAAAAATCCATTTTATTGAATTCTGTCTCTTTCTGGTCATTAAGTTTGTTTCTCAAGACTGGGTTGGGAAAGCTTGTTTCACTTCAATCTAGACTCCACTTTTCTAGTGCTCTTTTATATTTGTTCCTTTTTTCTCAAAGTGATTTGCAATAACATAGTAAAAATGGCAAGGAATCATCGGTTACTTATTTTTCATTCATAAGTAAAACTGAGATCCATTCAACTTTACGAGGTTAGTATTCATTAACATGTTTAGACATTCACTAACATCAGATATTGTATATGGTGTTTAATTGTTGTGCTGGTATGTAGTTGACAGCATTTATACGTTTGAAGTGGGTCCTAACCTCAAAAGCAGTATGAATTTAGTCAGGGTTACAGAAACTTACTGAGATGTTCAAAGCTTTTTGTCTATCACTTCTTACAACATGAAATTTCTAAGTTGTTTTTTCTCACCAATCTAACTAGATATCTGTACTACATAATCACATTCCATTGGTTTTTATGATTTTTATAAATATAATTATTACTATTCTCAAAATTACTACCTTAATCCTAACATTGTGGTTATTATTATTGTGATTGCAATTATCATTATTATTGTCAGTTGAATGACCTTAATTTGGCATATTTATGGACCTCAAAGTACATGAAACTATTGAGAAGATAATCGCAGACTTTCGTTTGTTACTTTCACCCAGAGGTATGAGTAAGAACAATTGAATTTTTTTGTCACATGATCACCATAATCATCATTACTTTTAATTTGATTTTCACATACACCATAAACAGAGAAGAGATTGATTTGTCACGAAAAGCGAAATCCAACTAATGAACTCCATTGCCAAATAATGTATATTCCTTACGCTTTATAACTGTAAGTACATGGGTTAACGAACGACACTAACATTCACAGAAGTCTTCTTTATTCTGATACAGCAGCTACATGTGTTTACGGTGATGTAAAAAGATGTTAACTGAACAGTCTCTGCATTATTCTATTCTTTTAATTTGAGCCTAAACACTACATGTTTGTACTAACAGTCAATAACTTAATAATAACATTTTGGCATATTATACACTGCGTTAATGGTTTCAGTGAGAACAACATCATTCATTGGGGTGCAGATTCATCCAACTGACGAGTGCCAAATACGCATCCTGGTTTCCACTGCCTGAATATCCGAGCAGCTTCGAGCCATCCTCATAGGAGCCCATCTGTCAACACAGGTCGAGCGATTCGGTCCTGCATACTAACGGGAAACTACAAGTATCGAAACATCAACTGAACCACCCACCAGTGGTGGCTGTCGTACACCAGTGGCCTAGTGGATAACGTTTGGGCATTCAAAGTGTTGAGCACCGGTCCGAGTCTCAGTGGGAGAAACATCACTCACTGGGGCGCAAGTACATCCAGGTAACCAGTACTAAATAGGACGAAACGTGCGTCTTGGATTCCACTGCTAGTCAGTCACCAAGATGAACATAACGTCAATTCAATTCTTTTAACTGCATGGAGACTATAACCAGGAATAGACAAAACACTCACAAAAGTTAATGCGGACCCACTAGTCAAACAAGCCGCTGGAATGCCGTTTAATATTTCTGTTGTTTCACTTCAAATCTAAGGGAGTTCAAGCACTTTCTCAACTTATAACCACCGCTCAGTCATCGTACACGTACATATGTCTGCACAGATTCCAACAAAGGGTAACTTATGTTTCAGAAAAAAGACTTTGCATCAATATTTTGGTGACATGAATAGATAGTTTTAGGATTTTAAGAGCTATATGAGATAGCAAGGATGCCTACAATCTGTTATCTTAATGCTGTGTGGTCACTTGTCACCCAGCGTAGAAACAATAACTTATAGGAGGAAGTCGTTGCTTCACTTCTTAGCAGAAAGTCTTTTAATGAAATGCAGAGAAACGAGGAAATATTTTCATGATCCTAAACAATTTACTTACCACCCAATTGGCTGAGGTTTCATTTAAAGCAGATCACATAATCAATTTGACATTCATCTAAACAGAGTACCTTAAAGTAAGTATTCTAAAAGCACAACAGTTCAATCTTCCTGCCTTATTCAAAGCACTATTTGATGCTCACCGTCTTTCAAAACTTGTCTTCCAAAGAGAATAGTCGAAAGATTGAATAAGTCTTATTAAAATCCATATGACTGCTTTAGCAACCAGAAAGAATATCTTTTAAACTGCAGTTAATTGTAACATATTTGTTGCATAACATGAGATTGAATGATGATTTTTTTAGTAGTACTGCTTACTCAAGGGAATCATTTCTAAAAACAAATATACACGAACTTAGAAAACCATATGACTAATTTTTAGCCTGAAAATTAAACAAATTGATCAGAAACATACTGTTTTATTCAGCATTACAGTGTGAATGTTTCACGGTTGGTAGCTGAGCTTCACGTAATGTAATAATAATAATGGTTTTCACTATAGAAAACTAGCATTTTCTAAGACAGGCTGATGAAGTAACCTTAATGATCATTCCAACATCAAATAATCTCACTGCACAATAATCTCAGCTTATCTCTTACATTTGTTTTCATATACCATTGTAGTGGGTGCTGCTGATAAGAATGGATATAAGTAGTATATATTGACAGGCAGATAGAAATCATAGGGAATTACCAGCGATGGGTAATTATTCTACCCAGAGAAACTCAAGAGACAATATGGGCGTATGAAGAGCGAATCGAGATAGGAGAAGAAGAGAAAATGAAGCACTATGCAAATGACTATTTTAATGGAAAGTGCACAATATTTCATCGGTACTGTACAAAATTTCATAATAAATATTCTTTCCTGTCTCTCAGTCTTTGTCATTTCTTACACTATGACTGGGTTTAAAAGTAAGATGTTCAATGTTACTAGACAAGAAATGTTAAGACGATTGTGATACCTTCGAGTAACTAACTTTAAAGAAAATGATTTAAACTGCATGTAGATGATAGCAGCTATGAACAGTCAGAAACAGGTGATATGTGTAAATTTTATTTGTGTGAAAAGACCATGGTCTCTGCAAATATAATGATGATTCCATTACATATATGGAGGAAGACATGACGCAATAAGAAAATGTTAAAAAATGTCAATACTAAGTTTGCAGCAAAAATAAACTTATTTTATCATTAAGAAGTCATATGAAAAGAATACTTTTTAGTGCATGTAAGCGATTTACATATTTACAATGTTTGAGAGCAATTTTAAACTTCTTTAACACTAACAATGAGAATTTTTCAATTACTAATTTAAATGTTTTTTTACGAGTGCGTTAGTTAATCTACTGGCCAAGGATATTGCGTGACAGTTAAAACAGGACAACCACTACAAATCTTCTGTGGCACACAGTATACTCCAGGTGTTGCTAAATAAAAGAATATATTGGTGTTAGTCTCAAACAAAAAAGATAAACAATCATCCCGTATACAATTGAAACTCATGCAATTTCACTATGGTAACCATGATAATAATGAAAACAATATAATGTAGTTTGCTTAAAGTACAGTTTACTTCAGGTAAAAATTATCATCCAATCACACCGGTTCTCATTCAACTAAGTTCTGGTAAACTACATCCTAATTACCAAAAAAATGCCATTTTAAAAGCAGCTGATAATTAACACTTGCAGAAAATAAAAATGTTTGAATTTGAAGTCAAGAAATATGATGGAAAATATATTAGGGACGCTTCATATATTTTATTTATGGACTCAGACCACAAGATAAGTTATTAAAAATAGGCGAATTGAATTAACATGAGTTTTATTACAGTAAATTCTTTTTTGAGACGTTTTGCCACCATTACTAAGTATGAATCACCTATAAATTTGTATATCTATTGCACACTGTTAAGTGTTCTGTTGTCCAACCACCGCTTTTTATCATTTGTACGATAATTAGATTATCTTTTAACCTCGTTAACCGCAAGCTACAGTTTACATAATTTCAAACATATCTTTAAACTATAAAGCTTCACAGAGCCTTGTGAGACTTCTTATACAATAAACCGGTTGGCTTTTGTGACTTCTCCTCATTTTAAAAAGGAAATGTACAAGACACAAAGTATAATAACTTCTTAAATTTTATTTTGAACTACTTAATGCTTCTCATAAATTATCAGAGATGCCAAATTGTGGTATGATAAGTTTAGAATAGGCTTACACATTGCTATGCAAATACGTTTATGTAGAACGACCAACCAAAGGAATCTAAAGGAGCTTATGAATTCAAAGGATTTTGCATTTTTAACTTATCTTGCACATTGATAACTTATGTAGCATCAACGAAATACTTCAGTCCATGATGAATACTACGTTGAAATAAATCACTGCTGACTAAGATCAAACTAAATTTCCAAATTAAGCAAAACATGTTTGCTTATATGCTTATTAGCATGAGAAGTAAACATCATTAAAGAGTAGCTGCTACGAACAGAGTTCTTAGTACCATTATTTTTTTCACTCCCATGGTTGCAAAGAATAAAATTAACAGAACATGAACGAATTTATATTTTAAACAACAAAACGTTTTCCTTTCTTATTCGAAAAGCACCACTGATAATTCCTCCTAACTTGATGTCTGTATCAAGCTCCTCAGTCATCCAAAATGGGCTCAGAGGTCCTTATAAGGACATATAAATCTACGTTTGCGCAAACTGACTCGAACAACTTTTAACTTTCTGATCTCAAACTAACTGAAAGTTGGGTATGGCAAGCTTAGGATGTCTTTTTGGCAACGAGTATACAGATAGCTTGTATGTCTCTAGGAATCTCTTTTTACTGTACACCGTGGGCTTCTGCAGTAACCTACGTTCAGAACTAAGTTTTCTAAACAATTTATATCCAACTTACTGGTAATCAGACGCTTTTCTGAGTGCTCTTTTTTTAAGCGGTACAACTTATCCACTACTTCCAAGCAACCCACTAAAGCAACTAGTGATTGAATTTTGATAGAAATATTAGCACAGTCAAACCGCTATTTCTGAACTGTTTGAATATGTAGGTTCAACCTCATGGATTGACTGTAACTGGTAGCATAGTTTTATGAAACTGGTTTCTAAGTAAAATGTCTCATCGATAAAATTTAAAATTTCTTTTAAAACTTTCTGATCCAAATATTACTTCCCACGCTATCTTACAGTTTACTGCTGAATACTTCAAAATAAAGATTTTTGATGAAATCTAAGAGAATGCTTACCTCAAGTGACAGCTTGATTAAGCGTACAATCGTATTCACAGAAAGTTGAATAAAGAGAAAATTTAGCGCCCCAAGTGTCTCGATTCGAATGGTTCGATTACCATCCGTACAGCAAATCCAAATAAGATCCTTCATCAGATAAGAAATAGTTAATAAAAACAAGTTATCAAAAATGATGAGAGTAATTCCTTCATATATAAAGTCATAATATATAAGTTCTTGAACACTAAAAATTCCTTATTTATTGTAGGCTTTACATGTAATTTTAAAAACATCTGTGTGTCGATAAACACATGCAAGTAGACTAACAAACACTCTAATTACCAAAACTTATGATACTACATGAAGTTTCCTATGAATAACGCCTTTCTGTACTGATAGTAACGCAACTATGATCAACCCCTAACTTACTAAGAACTAATTTAACATTATGTAGTCTATCGGCATAGTGCTGGAGATACAGCCATACAGCCAATTTATTCAGGCAATTCTGTTGTTTAAAAATATATTAAACGAGTTGCTTTTTTAGCATTTCTTTAGCAGAAAGTTCTCCGATTGACTGTTTGTTTCATCTGTACAGTAACATCAGGTCAACTGATTGGCACTGCCAAGATACTAGGAATAAATGTACGGAGACTGTAAACAACGCAGTTCAAAATTAGTTACAATGACACACGTAAGTTGACTTCAGTCCTTCATTATCTAATTATTTACTACCCATTTTATCCTTATGTCTGTATGTCCACCTTCTCCCCAAAATATGTCAAAATCTTTGACAACTCAAAAAGGCTTTCACAAGCAAGTGCTTGCTGATGAGCACAAGCAGGAGTGGATAACATGTAATTTACAAAAAAGATTTGTGCTGTAAATTGACGACTGTATCACAAAAAATACGATAGTGGCTATGTATTTAATAAATATCCTCTCTTGAATGTGCTTTGTGTCTCAGGGATTTACGCAAACAGATTTCTCGCTTGGTACCTTAAAATGCCTGAACTTTCTAAATTTTTAGGCGTCATGATGCATACAAAAACGTATTTCATAGTGGTGATTTTTATATCTATAAAGAGATATCTGAAAAGTCCCTAAATATTCTGAAAGCCCTGCACATTCTCGCTGAATTTAACTGTCTAAAACACCTACATACTGGACAGGTTTGGCTAAGCCCACGTGAAATTCTCAATTATGCAAGTTGAATAAGCTGTGAGCAGCTCGTCACTTTTTTGGACATATTCAACCTATTTTCTGTAATTAGTCAGAAAAGTTGCATTTCACTCAGCGTTCGATATTTTAAGATCAGCCTATACCTGTATTAGGACGTTCACAAGAGTCTTGATTGCTTTGGCATGCCATAAGTCAGTTCTTCTCCCAGGTATTAATCATGACATCATTATGAGTAAACTGTTACACATATGATAAAAACATTTTTTAATGTACAGCAAACAATATATCTCCTGATATTAGAAGCACAACAAATAATCGTTGGCACTATATGCTTCATAATAGTAATCAAAAAATAAACAATTCGTTGACGATTTTATCAACCTTACTATACGAAAGGAATCTGGCTCAGAAAACACGACTGTCACAGTTTACACATATCTTGGTTACCTGTACTATTGCTGTCAACAAATACTATTCTTATAAGAACAACGATACTTACAACTTTTTTTTACATATTAATACCTTTCTCATTAGAAAGTGTAGACAAAAAAATATGTTTTACCTTAATGATAATTTCTAACTTATTATCGAGTAGCAACAGGAAGTGAAGAAATTTCTACAATGCTCTGTAAAATATTGATCCATGAAATTCATTAAATAAGACTTCATTATTTTTAGACAAGAAAGAAATAGATTAGTCTGTAGAAATTACAATCAGTGCTATATATATATATATATATATATATATATATATATATATATATATGCATAACATAATATTCCAGTAAGTATATTCATATGGTAGTAATTATATATCAGGTTGTAGTATCAATAAGAATCTACCTTGACTGTCATAAACATGCTTTCAGGTGTTGAATCTTCTGGAAGAAACGGCTGTGTTAGGGAATTCTTATTAGCAGACTGAAAACCCGTTTTCGCCTTCACACCACCCCCATCTGTTTGCAAACCAAATGTCAACCACTCAACAGCATGCAAAGCGATCTCTTTTCGTGTTTGATGCATCCCACGAGCTGTTAAACAACATTTATTAAAATGACGGAAATTGACAATATGTATTTCAAGTAAAACATCAAGATGTTTTGTAATCTTTAGCACCTAGGTGTTAAACCAAGTCATTGTCTATTTTCCAGTTGTCTCATGTATAACACAACAACTCCAGAAAGAATATGGAAATGATGTTGGTCGATGATAGAGGTTGGTGAAGTTAATCCATAAAAGAACGAAAACAGATTAGTTTGGTTGTTTACAAATTGATTACAGACACACTCCAGCGTAAACATTTAACACTAAACCGGATATTGGTTCTTATGATACTTTTGATCAAGCTTTTCTCAAGATTAGTTTAATTTCATGCAAATTTTCGATAATGATGTCTCCGTAAAAAAATAACAGTTAAGCGTGTATAAAACAGTTGCGGGGACCTAGATGAACTATAAACATAAGCTCTTCAACTCTCATGGAAGGTGAAAAGGCTGTTCCTAAGCTAAAAGGATTGCAAGTATCAGGTACTGATATTCTGCAATCAGATTTAACGGTTGGAAAGTTACTGAATAGAGTAATCGAGACACTAGTTAGTTTTTTGGGAATCAGATGTGGTCCTATCAAACTAGTAAAGATCCTTTATCATTCCAGCTGACAACAAAGAATATTAGCCTTCTTTTGATGACTGCAAGGGAATCAGTGTGATGAAAATAGTGTTCAAGTTTATAAGATCTATCTCTATAAGGCAACTTAACATAGCTCAAAAGCAACAAACTTATGAAAACTGGGTAAGCTTCGGAACTAAACAGGGTAAATGAAATCAATTTCCACTCGTTGACAGGTTTTGGAACATCACCACATTCATCAGCAGCTGCTACTTATGATATTTCTTGACTTCATTGAGGCATTGAACTTCATTGACCGAGGAGCGTTTTGATAGTTGAGTGTGATGGAAGCATCAAACAAGTATAATACGCTAATTATTGCCTTTACTCGAGCTCATCTGACGGCAAAAAAGCTCATGGTGATTTTTTTACTTGAAGTACCGATAATCAGCAATGTTCTTACTCAAATTTGTTATAAATATATTGATAGACATACACTAACTACCTTCGATTCCTCAGGGACTGAACTATTCCCTGGATGGCACATGGTCGGCTTAGAAAATATATTTCTGGTATTCAAAGACTGAAAAGATGAAGTCTTCTGACATCTTCACCAAACTTCTAAGCAGGTTTGGCATGCGTTTCTCACTCACTGAATGTAAATCGTGATTTACAGCCAAATTATAGTTGTGGTGACCACTTTACCTACTTGTGGAGTGGAATTATTTCGAACGGGTTAGCTACTGATAAAGTCTAAAACTGGATTCAAAAGGCATGCTTGGCAGTGATCGGAATAAGTCATTTATGCTGCTAGTGAATTAAGCGATCACCTACCAGAGGACGAGTATATTAAGCAACAGTTCGCCATCTTTGATTGTACGGTAGTGGGATGTGGCCTCTGAAAGAAGAAAATATGAGGCTACAGTTTTCCTAATATGGATACTTTGTAGTGTAGCTCACGTGCGATGGAACCATAGTACAGGCAATGGTGAGGTTTCGCACGGAATACTGTGCAAGGAAGATAAGTCGGTCTATGAGGTTGTGAACCTCTAGCTAAAGAAGGTGCTTGCACATGTGTGTCTCTGTCCGAGGCACCACTTGCCCCGGCTTGAGATGTTAGCTGAAGTATGATTGGGTTAGGAAAAGACTAAAGATTGTCAGATCAAAATGTGATATCAGTTCACGAAGTCCCTGGCTGCTTCTCTCAACCATGTAGGGAGGTGTAGAGTACCTGGTTAAAGTCCTGAATAGCATAGGAACCAGTAGTCGAAGGCTTTTAGTGGAAGGGCTGATAATCGGTTGCAATACCACAGAAGTAGTATAGCTATTGCCATCTCCCAAATTTTTACTGTTTCATCTATTCATAAAATCTCTTCTCACATATTTTCGTCGACCTTAATATTACTCTTTTTCTATTCACTTCTTCTTTGCCTGTGTATGTAAAGTGAGACAATTCGAATTTATTCACTTCTCCTTCAGAGTCTAAGTTGTTTCGTCTGTGCTTCTGATATAGACATCAACGCGTACAGTGTAGAGAACTGGTATTCAAGAAATCAAGAAGTGCATGCTCAATGATGGCATTTATTACCTTTCTATTCAGAATAAATAGTAAATCTAATGTAAACCTTTCAGAAATGGTTTACATGTTACTACCTATGTCATCAACATATACTATAAATAAAAGACCCATAAAATTACCAAGAAATAGCTAGAACTACCTAACGATACCATAGCCTAACTAATACGAATTACTTAACGAACCATTATAGACTATCAAACGCTTCTTCCTTGAGCGCCTTTTCAATATTTTTCATCCCTTTTTACATGTGGTCACCCAAAAAGCACAGTAATGGCAGACTATTGCTACTCTAGGTAAGTGGGTGGCGCTTGGCGTTTGAAGTGATGGATACTGCTTTCGAGTCTCACTGGGAGCAACCTTCACTGGGGCGCAGGTGCATCCAGCTGACGAGTCCCAAATAGGGCGAAACGTGCGTCCTAGATTCTACTGCTAGCCACCAAGATGAATATAGCATCATGAATATGCAGTCAGTATTCAGATATCCTCAGAGGAGCCCACCTGTCAACAGAGGTCGGGTAAATAGATCCAGTATAGCAACAAGACACTACAAGTATTAATAAACACTCAACTATTTTAACTAGCTGACCATTAACTGTGGCACCAAGAAAATTCTTAATCGATGAAGTAGCTAAAACCTTTTATTTTACATTGCGCTACATCAGTCTCAGGAATCGGTTTACACAGTTATAAAATCACACTTATCTCGTAAGTTCAGGACACATAAGTAGATGAAAATGTAATTTTATCGGACAACTGACATTATTTTCTGTTATTAGAAAGTAGTGATGCAAAAAACAGCAAGACACAAAAGTAGAAATTCAGACCAGTTCTAACTCATCCTTACTTATCCAACTGTTCATCAAGTAGTGAAGCAGACCTACTTATCAAAATACATTCCCAGTACAACTTATTATGGATTCTGCATTGCTCGGTTTAAATTCCTTAATTTGTTAAATATTCCAAAGCTAGTGTAATCTAAATTACCCTAATCCGTACATTCCGTGCTTGCGAGAAGTAAGTTATGGTGTTTGTATTTGGGCCCTCAGTGCGATAAACACAATGTATCCACGGGGATTCTTACCAGCAAAATATACTATCTTTACTCTCTAAGAACCAGCTGGATGAGTACATATGTAGCTCCCATGCAAATTATAACAGCAGTACCTTGCGAAAGAAAACAAACAAGGGACATACACCATTATATACCATTAATATATGGATACATACACTTTTCCTATACATACAAATACTTACCTAAATGAATAGAACTGAGAAACATCTTCAAACCAGTTAGAGTTAGAGGGAGCTCTTTTATCCTGAAATATACATAACTTTTGTTTAAAGGTGGCCTCATTGATTGAAAAATCAATAAAAATAGATGTAGACATGAGGTACAAACTAAGGAAGCTAATGTAAACCATGAAATAGTATGCAACCAAACTCGCACCTTTAAATTACAGTATAGATAAGTGTCACTATGGTGAACAAAACTTCAAACATTACAAAAACGGCTCTTTTACTTTTTGCCACCCCAATTTTGAAGTATCTGGTATTCAAAAGAATCTGTCATCGCAACTAATGATGGCTTATTCAATGTTAGCCAACAATGTAATGTTGACTGTCTTTTTGTTGACTCCAAATAGCTTATCTAAAAAGTATTACTTTTTCAATAAAAGGATGAAATCGTTTTCATTCAGGGTAATGAACTTGGTACATAAGATTAGCTGTAGCAATCTGAAAAAATATCAAACGTACCATTATAAAGGAATGGCAGTAGAACTTCGGTTGACTTTGGCTAGATGTAAGCCAAGTAACTTAGTGTTTGGCACAAGAAAAATAAAACGTTATAGCATAAAAGGTATTTCAATACATGAATTCCAGCATAAAACTTGATCAAGTAGGTGATACAATGCAGGGTTGGTTTTCTCATTTTACCTTATGATCTGGGGGTGACACAGTATGTGAGAAGGACTTTTGTTCTTTACTATTATCATGACTACATCGTTTACTATAGCACTTCAGTGACCATAAAACTACTGGTAAACCACATAATTTATCAACTGTCTGTATAGCATACCTCGCATAAGCAATACTTACAAATACGAGTAGTTTTCTAATCACTCAACTTCAAACCCGTAGGAGTGAGACATGTTTGTTCTGGCTCACTTCATTATTTTTTGCTAGGTTCTGGCATATATTTGAAGCTAACTTCGGTCGCTGCCTCTTTTCAACGACAGCTTCTATTTAATGGACGAAAACTACTCAATGAAGTTTGTTTAGTAATGTAGCCTGCCACATCCTCTTGGCACACATCACATTCGCTGAAAAATAAGCATTTCAGTGAAAAATCATATCCACTTTTTGGCTATTCTTACTACTCTTAGAGTGGTAGTATGGAATAATTGGAAACTATATTCTCTTCCAAGTTTTGTAGATGAAGTCACTTTTGATTGTAGTCACACTGTTGTTGCTTATATTTGTGCACTTTAACATGATTACGCTTTGCTCATAAAAACAAATAGGATTTCCCTGACGTTTCGCCATTTAAGTCGTAGCTTTTGCAGCAGAACATATATCACTAGGTTATAACTATTGAATGCCCAGACAAGTAGTTAGTGGAAAGTTGATTAGGTCCTTTTGTTGCCTGCATTCACTGTGTTAATTACAACTTAATAGCTATTCGATTCAATACATTACAGCCTCGCGCTTTATAGTATTGTAAAAAGGTTAGCCATTTAATACTGCTTTCATCAATTCCTATTCAAACCCGCAGTCCTACCTACCTTGTGGTTTAGGGGGGAAAACAAGTTCACGCTTCCTGCTGCACGAGCTACTGACCTTTCAAATGCCAAGTTACACCTAGAGTTCACTGTTTTATTTTTGAAGAACTTGCAGACGGTAAGTAAAGAGGGAAACAAACCGGAGTAAAATTTCCTGTAATTGTTATGCACCACAATTTTTATCTGCCTAATACATTGTTTTACTGGACGGTTGTGAAACAAGAGAGGCCCTTATTTAAGATGCAAAACCAATGAAAATGGTAGCCATAGTTTGCAGAAGTTACAGGAGTTATGTAGCTAGCAGTAGTTCAACACATTCATTATTGAGACTGAAATGGAAGTCATAGATTGTATACAGCTACCTAAGAACACTTTTTTTAAAGTGAAAACTTATTTTAATCTTTCTATTTATTATTCTTTTGTGTAGTGCACCATTAAAAAATTCAGATAGGCATGAACACTATAGTCTGTTGACTGACTGAGACACTAATTAATGCATTTTTCTTGCATTTAAGCTTTATGATGAATGAATTCTTGGATGAAATTAATACGAAATGCCATCATTTCGTAGTAGCCAGTAAAGTATTGACCAATCAGGTTTGCAATTGAACCAGTATATTTCAGCCATTACCACCTACGATAATGATTTCAAATATTTCTGCATTTTGACACCTCAAAACAACTCTTGGGTGGATGCTGTGTGAAGCAACCGGTTATTCTGTCAAGATAAAAAACAGATGGTAGTCGATATCTGAAAACTGTGAGTGACATGTTTCCCCGTGTATCGCCAACAAAAGCATGTTAAAATATGAGCTAAAATCACAGGATCCTATTGCGATGAGACCTACCCACTACTTGATATCCACTAAAGCCTAAATATTCTCAATAACCCTTATCTTCAGATTCTTTATTCTTTCGCATAACTTTGTTCACTTCAATATCACTCTTTTTCTATCCATTTGCTCTTTGTAAACCGCTGTGAAGTATGGAAACTTGAGTCAATGCACCTGTGTGCGAGGTTACATAATGATTTTATCAGTCAACCAGTGGTAGGCATTGCCTTATACTACCACGAAAATAAACTCATAAAAATTTCCTAAAACGTCTACGAGTTCAGTGTTAAGCTAATCAACATTAAATTGTTGTCCTAAGAATTAAAATACATCCCACAAACACTGTTATTTATTTTAGAAACTGGCGTAACATTTACTTCTGTGCAGAGTAAAAGCTGTTTATCTTACTTTGAAAGCAGTTAGATCTACTAAAGGACAGTTTCTCAAGAAATGTCTGATTGATAATCAGCACCTGAAATACTTTTTGTCTAAGCAACGGCTGCACTTAAACGTTATAAGTTACTCCGACATAAACTGGATTGTTATCTCAGTCTCTTAGAAACATCGAAATTAACTTACAAATTTATAAGTTCCTTGGAGACTGAGATGATTCTATCCTTCATTTTTAGTTCCTCATCTTTTGACAGATTTCTATATCGTTTTGTTGCTGAAGGAACCAGTATTTGTGATCGTACATCATTAAAATCGATATCTTTCCATCCATAACAACGGAAGAACAAGTATAGCACCAACCTTTTCCAAATAAATTAAATTGAAAGCTTGATGAGCCTTAGTCATAACAAAAAGTAACAAATTAGACTCAGTCGGTCAAATTATTTTTTTGTCAACAACGTTTTGCTAGATTACAAGTACCAAACAGTCAATATTTTTTCAGTTTTCGACAGCAGCAAAGATTTGCAAGAAGACAGAAGATAAAAATGCTTTGTTACACAATTTAAGACAGGTACAGCATATATAGTTTAAGGACCTCGGATTTTTAGAACTGCACTTCGAATGGAAATATCACTGAGTTATTAAGCTTAATTCTATGTTTCCAAGTTAGAACCTAACGTCTTCAAGTATATTTCATTCGGATTTCTCTGTACATAAAGTACATGAAATTTGATTCCTTTTAATATCCCACTTGTTATGAAGATACATGAAACCATCCAAGCAGCAAGTAATTAGAGAAACACTTTCACCACGAATAACTTGCAAAACTGCTTCAGTCTCTTGATCACCACCCACAAGGATGGAAAATTACTTCATCCAAGATACTACCGTGTGTAGTTTTATGTCTGCATACTGATATGCAAATTAATATTTTGTGGTCACGTTACAGACTTTTAAATACGTAACTTAGGTAGAAGTGTACACAGTATCTAAGTTCACTACATTTTTCATGAGGCGCTCTTACATCATTAATAAGGCGGCCAGACCTACAACTTAATATTCTATATCTGGTATTACGGTTATGAGTGCGTCAAATAAATAACTTATCTGTGGACCACTGAGCAGAAACTCTAATATTTTCCAGCGTCACAATTTTTTCAGCCATATCTCTCAGCTAATCGTTGGCTAGGCATCTTATTTTCATCAGTGATACGTGAGATATAGCACTAAACGTTTTACATACCAAATTGCTTATGTGGCATAATCGTAATTCATCAAGACCACTGATGCTGACCACTGGCTGCAGTTGCAGCCAGGTTCAGTATTGCTTAAGCAATGCACTTTTTGATGGTATACGTAGAACGATCAAAAAACTAAATCTTCAACTCACTTACCAGTCATTATCTTCACTAACCGTCCACAGATTACCGCAATCCCTGCTTAAGCGACCCAAAATCTTAAACAGCGTTTTGATTCCACCATGTTCAGATGGACTAGTGTTGGTCACATTGTTTTCTCCTTTCTCATAAGAGACAGCCAAAGCATTTAATGCTGTAAGAAACTCGTAATCCTTCATAGCGCTGCTTATCTGCTGACACCTGAGCCCTAGTTGGGAAACTCCTGTATCCATCTGCATTCTAGGCGGTAAAAACACGATTGCACATTACCATAACTGAAAGATGCACACAAAGCATTGAACAAGTTGTCTCCGATATTCAATATCTTTTTAACAAGCTTGTGTAAACCAGTTGATTTCCTCTTGCTCTCGTAAAACAAACTTTTTGTAGATGACCGACATATCACAAAACGGACGATGGCAGACAGCACCAATGAACTGACTGGATTCATGATCAATTAGAAGGTGGGAAGCTGTAAATGAGCTAACTATCTACGAAGAAGCTTGACTCCATATTTTTGTTGACGCAGCAAGCCCTAAAAAGGAGTTCTGATACTTTCTTTGAGCAATTTTGTGGATATTTTGATCGTTCTCCTCATTTATGAGTTACATTAAGAGAACAGGAGGTTTCTGAGCTGAGGGTATGTGATCAGTCATCCAAGACATTTAGCACGTCATCGAGTTACTTTGCATTACACCTTCACGATCACCTAGAGAGTTGGCTCATACATCTTTGCATGTTAAAAGCAAGAAATCCCTATTCGGCTACCTAACCGTCTTTTCTCTTGGTCCCGCATTCATGGGTATCTGGCAAATGCGAAGAATGATTAGTTGGCCACTGTCAAATAGCATACGACAGTTTTAACCACCACTAAAATTCTTGAAACTATAACATCGTGTCCCTTCTCTGCCAGAAATATCAACAATGAGTTTCTTTCAGAAGAATAATGTGTAATGTCTGTAGAAGTGTTGTCGAACGTGCAGACAATGAAATGAAGTCTGTGACGGAAAATAGTCTATGACGGAATATAGTCGTCCGCGTTTGCGTTTACGTTGCAAATATAAAGAATAAAGTTTCGTCAAAACCGTACATTAGGTGGCTGGAATGGATTATCTGGAGACGAAATGGCGTTCACCATCAGGCGATTCATATTATGCCTGCTTGCTTCGCCAGGTATTTCTGCTACCATGCCCTATATTGACCCTGGCCACAAGTAAACTACTTATCGCTATAACTTTTCGGCAATTACTTCTTACGACCACCGTGTTGTTTTCTTCAAGCATTTCTTCAGCATAACATGAAACCAGGCAGTTCGGTTCTCTTCTACCAATGTATTTAGCTAGATGTTCAACTGACATTTTATCACCAATGCCACCATATGGTTACAAACAGTGTAGAAAAGATACACAACCATAAACAAACACTTCGTCTCCACTTCAGAAATGATACAGGGTGCTGAGGGCGAATCTCGCAGCTTTTAGGAAACGGAAGAAGAGCTCTAACTTTTATCCCTCAGCTTTCTACATTTCAAAGCATTACCTCAATTCGATACGCACTCGCAACAACAAACTCCATGATAACTAGTGAATTGCGACGTTCGAAGATGAAGACCACGTTGTCGATTTTGAAATACGTAGAGTGGTATGCGATTCATCCTAATTTATACGAGGGAATAGCCCATAAAGACTAGGAAAACATATTTGGTAATGCCGGATATAAACTACGTTTTAACTAAAAGAAAGCAGCCATCACGCTCATTTTTAAAATGATGACAAGAGAATTTCACGTACAAGTTAACTCAAATGAGCATTCTCCTTCCGACTGTTTCCTCCTATATCCGAAGAGTCTAGCAGGATTTCCCGTGGGAAGAGGCTTGGAAAATTACCGGCTTGGAACAAGAAAAAATAAGCGAACAATATTGTTTTCGATTAGATCCTCTTCAGGCTTTACTCTAATACAAATAGCTTTATATATATATATATATATATATATATATATATATAAAATTAAACCGATCATGTAGATTTGTCGGTTGGTGCGATTAGTATACTAAAATAACAGTGACGATAATAATACAAGTAGTGGTACTGATAAAAGTGATAACGTTGACCAAAGCACTTGCAATATAGGTGATAATGATGATAAGAACCAAGAAAGCAGCATTAAAATGCAGACACTCCGGCAATCCAAATAGGTCAAAGGCTCGTGAAAATAAAAGTTGCGTAATAGTGGAGGGTGAAGTAAGTGGGCAAACAAAGCCTAGACGAATACAGTAGGTAAACAAAGGAGGTGAAGAATAAGAAAGGGGGTGGGATATGTTATTCCTCATAAGTCTGAGTCGTACGTGGACTCAGAAATTGTTCCGCTTTCTTTTAGTTTCTAAAAGATGTTTATTATCTCCCCTGCTCTTCCACTTAAACCTGGAAAGCGACCAGGTCTCTAGAACCTTGATCATTAGGAAGAAATGTCACCTTATCAATGGAATCGCTTCTGTTCAACAACACCAGGCGTCCTTCCTTGTACAGTTTACTGATTATGAGACTTTCACCTTTCTTCAGCCTCGGCGAAGCTTCTCTCCGAACTAGCTAGTATTTTGCATTGTTGGCAACTATAAACTAGTGCGGTTTTAAACCTGTTTAGTTCACTGTTAGAATACAGCAGCAGTCCACGCCCAGTATCGTTTCCCACTCGACCAATTGTTGCTGCTAGACAAAAGACCAAGTGTCTGGTCTTGCCATCTCTGTGTGCATTTACAGGTTTGGCTGTTCCTGTGGAGAAAGTTATGTAGGGCGTGCTACTAGGCAACTTAACAAACGTGTTGCTGAGCCCCTACCTATGTGGTTGGAAGGGGACAGGTAAAATCCACCAGAAGCTTAGTTTAATCTCACCTCGTTGATAGTGGTCACTCGGTAGATAAGAACAATGCTTTGACGATTATTCGCCGCATACCATCTCATCTTTCTAAAGGTATTCAAACTCGTCTTCTACACATAGCAGAAGATGTGAGGGTTCTAGCTGCTAACGCTAGCTTTTGTATCCAGAAGAAATTTGTACACCCCATATCTCTCCCTTGGCCAGGGAATACTTAGTTAATGACTTCATCATTCGGTTTCTTTCCGACCCCCTTTCTTATTCTTCACCTCCTTTGTTTACCTACTGTATTCGTCTAGGCTTTGTTTGCCCACTTACTTCACCCTCCACTATTACGCAACTTTTATTTTCACGAGCCTTTGACCTATTTGGATTGCCGGAGTGTCTGCATTTTAATGCTGCTTTCTTGGTTCTTATCATCATTATCACCTATATTGCAAGTGCTTTGGTCAACGTTATCACTTTTATCAGTACCACTACTTGTATTATTATCGTCACTGTTATTTTAGTATACTAATCGCACCAACCGACAAATCTACATGATCGGTTTAATTTTATATATATATATATATATATATATATATATATAAAGCTATTTGTATTAGAGTAAAGCCTGAAGAGGATCTAATCGAAAACAATATTGTTCGCTTATTTTTCTTGTTCCAAGCCGGTAATTTTCCAAGCCTCTTCCCACGGGAAATCCTGCTAGACTCTTCGGATATAGGAGGAAACAGTCGGAAGGAGAATGCTCATTTGAGTTAACTTGTACGTGAAATTCTCTTGTCATCATTTTAAAAAATGAGCGTGATGGCTGCTTTCTTTTAGTTAAAACGTAGTTTATATCCGGCATTACCAAATATGTTTTCCTAGTCTTTATGGGCTATTCCCTCGTATAAATTAGGATGAATCGCATACCACTCTACGTATTTCAAAATCGACAACGTGGTCTTCATCTTCAAACTCTGCAATGCACTCACCAGCCAGCCTAAGTTATTTACTCGTTACCTTTTCTGCTTATTCAAGCCATCTGATCCTTAGCATCGAATGAATGTGGGTGGCAGGTGTTAATTACGTATGTCTGTAGCTTTTTGGAAACGCTTTTCGTCAGGCACCAACTTTCTCAATCATTATATAAAAGCACTGACCTGACTGAATTAGTTTGAAAATCCAGGTCTCATTCATGCTTTACTCTGAGTGCAGCAAATTTCCACACTGATTTCATATCAGTGAAATCCTGTCCTGCTTTTCCGATCCTGGTTTTGACATTCTCATCTGTGCTTGGGCCGCCTGTGGGTGAAACAATGCTGCTTCGCCTAGGTAGGTGAAAGAGACAACTTCTTTTATGTTTCTGTCCTTAATGGCGATTGGTGCTTGTTTTGGTTGACGTTGTTGGTTGAGTAGCTTCATGACCTTCTACACTTTAATTCCCGCCGTCACTGCCTCGCAGCTCCTGTCAACTTGTCGGTTTTCGCTCGTAGATCTCCGATTTTGTGCGATGTCAGGTATAAATCATTACTGCCGAAATCTAAATCATCTTGGGGTCTTTTCACCGGTCCAGCGAAAGCCTGTCTTCCCGCTCCTCACAGTTTCTTGCATGACCCAGTCCACCACATTCAAGATCATCGGTGATAGTGGTGTAGCGTCATACGCCTCCCCAAAATCAATGACCTGAGGTTCGACGATATTCAGCATTGATGCTGGCCTTGATAGTTTAACTGGACTCGCTAAGCTGAAGGCACCCGGACAAGCATCCTCGCTATTTGGCACGCTGTCGTGTCACGTTACACTGCTCGCATTCGACTCTCTAGCCCGTTAGTTGGAACGCATCGGTATTTTGGCACAACCACCCAGATATACTACTCCATCTGACTACGCTATCGTGTTCTTCCTTGGTCTCGTATTCGTGGGTATATAAGAAGTCCGAATAATTAATGATTGTTCTTTGCGCCTGTCAAGTTCGCACCAGGACAAATCCTAAAGTAGGCAACCTCGTTTTCATTAATTAAATCTGTGTCGATCTCTTTCCAGATAGTAACCTGGTTATTTGGTGTTGTCAGGTCTCTTCTACCAGCGGCTTGTTCCGCCTCAGTTTCAAGTGTGTCATAGAAGTGTCTTTTGTCTTTGCACACACTCCTCTTCACTTCGTTGTCCAATGTAGTGTCTTATACACTTTACTCAGTTTCCTTTTTCGTTGTGCATACCAAGCGTACTGAAGAGACACCTGTTTCATCCACGATGAACGCAGGTAACAACAGAGCAGACTTCATTTAACTTAAAATCCATAATTTGACACGCCTACCATCGAGAAAAAAGTAAAGGTTGGGTAACCAAACGCCAGCCAGCCACTGTCAAACGTGGGGGCCTCCTC